AATGGAGGAAATCACCAACTACTTTGAGCACATGGATTACGTGTCCTTTGGGGTTATAGCCCTGCCCTGCGTGGTGATAGCCGTCTATGGATTCCTTCAGGTGGCCAGTGGATTGGCCAAAGGGAAAAGTAAGTAATAAAGAAACAAAACAAACAAAAAGTGAGAGGGAGATAGAAAGGGTGAAAAGTGAGTCAGTTTAACACAAGATTCCTTCCCAGACGATAAATGACTAAGAGATATTGTACAAATAGGTTAAAAAAAAAAAAATTTAAATGTGGAAATTCACAAAAGATAAACTCTTGCTAAAGCAAATGTTGATGGGAGCATTTCATCCATTTCACAGTGCTAACCAATTATTAATGATTCATTTATCGAGTACTCGAGGAAATGGAAACTATTAATTTAAAGGATACCCAAAATAGTTTGAATCATTGAGTGATTGACGGAATCTTCCCATGCCTTCTGGCACTTAACCTGATCCACTTTTAAGGCAATGGTGCTACAATGAATGTGAAATAGAACAGGGCCAAACAGAGTACAGAGCATGGCCTGGTGGCTTGCTATTGGCATTCCCCAAAACCGCAGAAAAGCAAAGCAAACAAATTATTCCCGTTCTCGTACTTATGATAAAAAATTGTTTAAAGTAGAAAAGTTTTAACAGCTGCTCTCCAATGTGGGGGGAGCCGGCACATGGGTCTTTCCCACACTTCTCTTCCCACTAGAGTCGAAAGAGGTGACCGATTCCCAGAGTATTATTTATAGTGTGCGGAAAACAAATACGAGAACTTGTTGCGATTGCGATTGGGGGCTGGTGGTGGGGGAGAACCAGAGATCCCACGGGAACCACATTTTGTCACAATATTTGTGTGTCCCTGACCTACCTCACAACCTTCCAAATGCGCGATCGTTAGCCCCCCGCACGATGGGGAGTTGGAGAGTGTCTGATAAGAGCTTCAATTGCAATTAATCAAAAGAGTGTTTCTGTGTTTTTGTATAGAAACTCGTATGAAAATCGAACTTTTTAACAAAAGACATCGATCGATAACGATCTCCCACTTGCCTGGGAATCAATTTTATTTAATAGGGATCGGATCTCAGGAATCTACTGGATCTTAGAGCTCCCAAATCTGTGGTGTATACCTTTTTTTTTTTATTTGATTTCTTTGAACCAAAAAATAAAACCCGATCTTTACATAATATTCGCGCAGGCAACTTTCACACCCAACTAATTTACATTGGAGATCTCGGAGGAAAGAGAGACACACACCCAACAGCAGATACTGCAAACAGATAAAAAGAAACACGAAAGAAGATACCAAAACCTGATGAGACTTACTTTCTTTTCGGTTGGGAAAGGTCCCGCCGCATTCGAACTGCCGGAGGGGCGGGTAAAATATCGTGGATCTATCTACAATATGCCAACCAATATACCGAACCACTGACAGTCAGCAAGATCAGAAAGTTAACTGAATTTTCTTTTTATTTTCATTGTTTGTTTTTTATTTCTTATAAATTTTTTTCTTTTTTTTGCCATTTGCTATTTTTGTGCATCTTTTGCCTTGCTCTTGTTATGGCCGCCTCAGCGCCGATGCTCTCTTGGCTTTTTGGTTTTTTTCTCTTCTTTCGTTTCAAATTGAGTCCATTTATTTTTGTTGTGCGAGGCAGTAAATGAATTTCAATAAATTAGCAGTGGATACGGATAACCGCTCCGTACAAACCGTACTTGAAACAGAGGCACATCCCGTATCCAAACTTATTATACCCTTTTCACGATACGTTTTTTTTTTCATTCCAATCACATTCTTTCTTACCCCTCACCACACTTTTTGATGAATCCGACAGGAGGGTTCGCTTTAAGTAAAAAAAAAAAAATAACAGGGGGAACGGTTAGAACACCATCTGCTGACACTCTGCCCCATCCATAGATGCCCCCCCCCCCTCCACAGGGGTAGGTTTGCTCGTATTTTTTTGCGCGCAATAGATCTCGTCTCTTATCAGGGGGAAAAAAGATTAATTTGTATTATTTTTTTCAAGTATTTTTTCTTCATTTTTTAAGTGTTTTTCGTTTCGTATTTTCTTTTTCTGTTGCATTCGGTTTTGTTGTTGTTTTTACCTACTCGTATGACATGGTTACGTATTTCCCTTCGTGCCCCTTTAGGGCCATCAGGGGAAATTGGAATTGGATCTGGTATGCATAATGCATATATGCAAGGAATGAGAGCAGTTGTTGGGGTTGTGGTATTTTTGTTTTATTTTGTTGCAAATTTTGTTGCAGAGACTCAACGTGTGTGTGTGTGTATCCGTTCGCTTATGGGAACAATGTATCTGCCGAATATCATTGAATATAATTCTAGCAATTAATTTTACTATTATGTACAATTATTATTGTTACTGTTTTTCTACCATGTTGTGAAGCATTTTCACGCTTTTCGTACAAAACAAACGCGTATTAAACGCTTCCGATCTGTGGTAGCGATAAGCGTGGCAATGATACGTTTTTTAGCCAGCAAAAAAGCTCTAAAATCTCTATTGGGAATTAGTTCCAGTACAAAAAAGTACACGAAGGTATTCTATTCTCTTCTATGAGAAGAGTGAACCTTTTTTTTTGCGGTGGGTGGGGGGGCTTGGAATGTGTTATACAAAATAATTGGATATTTATCAATCCATTAGGAATTAGCATACATAGCCGCTACGGTATAGCCATAGTCGAGGCATTTCTTTGGGGCACTGGCACTCTGCCGCTCTGGTATTTATTAAATTTATTTGAACTCTTATACTAATTTTGTTGGCATTCAGTTCTCTCTCTAAAAAATATTCTTAAACAGAAACAGACGCAGATTGGAAATTCGGAATAATCTGTGGGGCATGTGCCTGCCCCGCCCCCCTTGTAGCTACATATGTACGTGTGGAATGGAGCAGGGCTGGGTAAGGTAGGTCGTGTGTCGTGACTTAAGCGGTGGCCCTTCATTTGGTGAGATTTATGTGGATTTTTGCATAAAAGTCGAATAGTGAAAAGAGTCACAGAAATTTGCTTTTTGCTGAGCATAGGAAAGCAATACACTGAGACGTGACATAAGCAAAGGTCGACCCCACGAGACCCGCCGCGACCCCGGGCATCGCTCATCCATTTCTTCCAGTCTTCGTCTTCATCTTTGTTTCTCGTCTTTCGGCTCGCTTCTTGGCCAAGTTTAAAGCCAAAGCCAAAGCGAAAGTTTTGCCTCGCTTGTGTTTTTTTTTTTGTTTCGTGTTTCGAACTTCTTATTTAACAGCTCTGGTCTTCGTGGTCGTTTGTTTTCACTTTACCTTGATATTTTCGATGTTGTTTTCTCTGCTGCTTCCGTCGTCCGGCGTCTGTTGCCTTTTATACTACGTGCCACAATTAAAACAAAATATGAATCAAAAACACACACATTTCAAAAGATATACCACAAATATTTTTGATTAATGAACCACACATAGTGTCAGCGCTTTTCCAGTTGTACAGCGCAGAAGATTTGCGATACTTTTTGGGATAAATTATGAGTGTTTGAATCTATAGCTAGTAATGTCTGTCATTGACTTTTATGTTCAAAACACTCCCCCCAATAGGTTAAAGTACATAACAAATTTTCAGTCATTTGTGTGAACTGCTCGATTGTAAATTGTAAGCAAATTTTTTGTTCGTTCTACTCCGTAAATATCCGTGAAAATTACTCTGTAGAAGAATACCAAAATTTCAAATAGTTTTCAAAATTTTCAAGTGTTTTTTCTATTGTTTGTATTCGAAAATGTGGTACCCTCCATCGTCGGGACCTTATTGGGTGTATCCCCAAGATCCCTGGAATAAATGTAAGTGCAAAAGATATAAGAGAAATACATGCAATCATGATATGAGGTGAGGCACGCTATCATTTAGCGAAAAATAATCCTTTAGTTAACATTCTTTGGATATTCCTTCCACAAAAAGGAGGAACTCCTTTCCAGAGAAGTAAAATACTTTCTCGGTGCCGCTGTCTTGCTTTTGCTATCTAGCTAACTCGTTAAATTCTAGCCCCAAAGAGTGGTCTAATTGTTTCGATCCAATTTCATAAACTTTTGTTTGCTTGGTAGCTTTGTTTTCACTTTTTATAATTCATATTCACCAAAATACAGTACGCAGATATCAAAAGCAATTCTCTTACAATTTTCGAAAAAATGTTTAAAGCTTCTTCGGGTACACCCTCAGGGGTGGTGCCTATAGTATCCTGGAGATCCACCAAAGCCACATGTGACTGCCAAAGACCTTACTAGTGGGAAAAAAAAAGGTAACTCGTGTCTAGCTTTCCGTGGAATGTGTTTGAGGGTTGCCCCAGTGTTGGACCCTTATCCAGGTTGTCGTTGTCTCGATGTTGCTTTCGCGCTGTCTCGTTGTGTCGTTGTCTTGCCGTTTCTGTCTCGCTTTTTTGTTTCTCTCTGTGTCGCCGTCCTACCGTTGCTGTCCCCCTATCGCTTTTCTTGCTGTCTTGTGATGCAAGTATCAAAGCAGCACTCGTGCCTTCCCCCATGCTGTCGTCATCACCACTCGCTCTCTGATGTATTCGAAGTTGTTAGCGCTTTTTACAGCCCAACATCACGACTGCAACAAAATGGTAAAAGCAAAGCTACGGTCCCTCTTTTTTTGTGTGCTATTTTCCATAGTTTTTGGGCAATAAACAGAGCGAGTTGATCGCTAGATGCTAGACTAGACAGAGTAACAAATTGAAGCTAATTGACAGCTAATTGGCAACACTTTTACTCTCAAACAGCCAGAAGTTGGTCAGGCCATAAGCATATGAATTCAATTGTATCTGAAAAGGATCTATAAAGCGATAGATAGATAGATTAATCGATAGATCGATCTATTATGTATCCCTATTTAGTCTCAGTGTTAAGTAAATTAGGATGTGGATTATACCCCACCATATGTATGATATTCCATCTTAAGATCTCTAACGGAACAAATGGAAGATATAAATCCATTAAAAGAAAGATTTAAGGGTTAGAACATGTACACTCGCCATGTCGCAGTGCCCCTCGGTCATGGGATGATCATTTAGATGAAAATCTCTTCAATCAAATGTTAATCACCAATTTTGTGCGTATTAATCTTTTGGGTTTCCATTTAAAAATTCAGCAAATTTCCAATTAAGAGGGCAACCCCCGTCCTTTCCGTCTTCCACCGCTGGGAAAATGATTTTATTTATGCATAACATATGAATGAATTTATATGCCTAGCGGTGAGAGGCCACAAAAGTGAAACAATTTGAGCATTTTCGTAGCGAGGGAAATGCGGAAAATGTGGATTAATATTTTGTATCTATTTTTTTTTTATAGTTTTACTTTTAAGCAGGAAATGTGTGTTAATATATTATAGGAAAACAGAGTATCTTTTTCGGTTTTATATTAATTGTGGTACTTCAAAGAATGCCTCTCTGTCTGTCTGTCTATTCGAGGGTATCCCCAGTTCGTCCTTTGGCTATCCCATAGATTTTTCCTAAAACTATTTATACACAAAAAAAACATTTTTTGGTGATTCTGTGATTAACTGATTGGATTAAAAGTGTCGGCGAAAAGGTTCCCCAGCACCAAATCAGATTTATACATACATATATATATCAACAGATTTGTATCCAACAGATACATAGATACACGCACACACAGTCGACACATAAGTGTGTGTTTTAGAGCAGTTTTATAGATACGAATCTATTCAATTGTTGATCTTTATTTAGAATGGGGGACTGTGTGGGGGATGTTCTGATTTCATCTCTCTATAAAACCGTATTGTTGGACCCGCCCCATCGTCTATAGAGAACCTCCGCCGATTTGCCGATCGCTGATCGCATTCCAAACAATTTTTCACTGTACATTTTCACCCGCTCTCATCACAAAAGCTCAGTGCATTCTATGATTTTTCCGATTTTTCAAAGTCTTTTGGCTTCTTTTTATACCCGTACTCAAAAAGAGTTTAGGGGTATATTGTATTTGTGGTAAAAGTGAATGTATGCAACGCAGAGAAGGAAACGTTTTCGACCCCATAAAGTAAATATATTCTTGATCCGAGTGGATATAGCCATGTCTGTCAACTAGATCTCAGAGACTATAGAGCCACCAATTTTGTATCCAGACTGTTGTGACCCACGCCGGGTTCACGCGCGCCCCGCCCCCGGGGGGCCCATGGGGGGAACACTTGTGTGCGACTAGGGGCGAGGGCGGTGCCACAAATTACACGACTGAGTACGGGTATAAAAGTAGAGTCGCGTCCACAGAAGCGACTCATACGTCCCTTCTCGTTCTTTTTTTCTTTTGCGCGCGCTGCCAACTTGTTGATTTGCACATTCGACGTCGCGTCTGACATTCGTGACAGCAGCGACACAAAAACCATGCAGAATAAGTTTAAAATTGAATATTGAATTGTTTAGATTGTTTAGAACTGATTTGGTTATCGACTACCAATACTATCGAACTGTTAAAACTTAAACATTCCATTAAATAGGGTAAAATGGTTTAAATAGGCTAGAGATGATCAATTGAAGAGCGAAGATCGATAACTGTATAAAACGTTTAGTAATTGAATCAAGTTTAAGGTTATTTTTAAGAAATTCATCCAAATGTGAGCTGGAATTTAAATAAAAGGATGAAGTGATCATGCATTGCCGACTTAATATCAATTACTATAGCCGATTATTTCACACATCTGAAACGATCATTCATCTTTCAGTTTTTTTTCTCATCCCCTTATAACGGTTATACTGTTATGCATTTGCCATATCACACTTCCGTTAATCCATCTTTCAAGTAGTATATTTTTCCTCTGCTCAGCTCCTCTTCTCGCTATGTTTTTTCGATTTCTGGATGTACATATGTGTATGTACATCCTCCCCGTTCATATTCGTATTTTGTACATTTTATGTGTGTGCAAAATGTTGAAATAATTTCCGCAATTTGTTATACATTTCGTTACCAAAAGAAAGCCACAGATCTCTGCCGCTGCCTCTGCCTCTGGCTGTGCCTGTGGCTCTGCGTCTGCCTTCATTGTTCCCTGCATAGTACGAGTAACTATAATTATTACCCACTTTCCCAACCATGTAATTCGTTTCTCTATACATACATATGTACATACATATATCTATGTATGTATTTTTTCTCTGTTCCGTTGTACTTTTTAGCATTTAAGGGGGCCCCCTTTCTCTGCCACAGACAATCGTCACACGAAGGGGCACACACACACTGAGGGCGCACATCGAGTTGGTCTGGTGTTTGGGGGGCACATCACATACTTGTATATTTACCTGACTTCTCTCTCTCTCTCTCTCTGTCTTTCTGTCCGTCAGTCTGTCTCTTTTGTTATGTATCTCGAATGCGTTATTTACTTATGTTTTTTACAAGTGCAATTGAGGTTACTTTCTATTTAAAAATTAAAGAAAAAAATAAGTACTACGTGCATGCAAATGGTGGAAAGGTTTGGGGCCAGAGACAGACCCAGACCCAGAGCCACAGAGCCGATCATCAGAGTGTGGCCAAATTGTTGGCTTTTTTCTCTCTCTTTGTATCTCTTTCTCTGTGTTTCTCCGTTTCTTCTCTTCAACTTCCACATCTTATCGATGGCACTCTTTAAGTGTAAATTTACGTGCTGCTCATTTATTCCCATGATGTTTTATAACTGAGATTCGGATTCCACTTTGTATCTATTGTGTTAACGAGAGTACCGGTAGTATTTTTTTTTTTTTTGGTCTTCAGTCTTCTCCGCATGCGGAGTGATATCCAGTAATAGGATGGGTATATCCATTCAGTCCATTGTTCTCTATGATCTTTGATCAAAAAAATATCAAAAATAAATAGAAAAAGATTTTCCGTAGTAGAAGTTTTCTGTTGGATCAATTAAGGGGTTGCTCTAGAGGGTATACCATCTGTCTTCTACATTTTTTGGCACCTGTTAGCTAACAATCATCTAATGGAGTGCTATCATTTACGAGACGAGCTACTGTTTGCTTGTTTTCCATGTCTTTTGAGCACATGTTCATTTGTTGGGGGGGAGTATGCCATTGCTACTGTTGGGGCTGTGGCTACTGATATCCATGATATATTTATATTCTGAGATATAGAGGAGTAGCAGCTCCTAGTGGAGTAGAAAACTCTGCTATCCCAGTTGCCTCCTATTGAACACTTGTTGTTATCTTGTGACTTGTCGATACCCTGAGACACACTGCATTAATCCCTTGATTGTTCGCGTTGGGTTCCTAGTACTTTCTTCTAGATCTGTTTTTGTTTTCTTTTTTTTTTCGGTTTCACACACAGCTGGCGGCATGCATCAAAATTTGCCATCATTTCTCTAGCTGTCTACTGTCCAATGTCCACTGCCCTTGTTCTTCCTCTCGAAGATCTCTGCTCTGCTCTGCTTATATCGTATCTCCGAGTAGTATCGCTGAGTACACGATTATATGTTTACTGTTTGTGGGCCACGTTTCGCTTCGCTTCGTTTTGTTTCTGTTCTGTTCCGTTTTGGGATTTTGTTTTTATTTTGTATTTTTATAAATGTGTGGTGTGTGGCCGCCGCCCCCATTTGTATTACTTTGATTACTTTCTTGGCTGCAGAGTCAAATAAATCATTGGGTATTGCTACAATACACTTTGTGGCGTTCAAAAATAATACATGTGCCTCAAGGGGCATTCTGGGCAGGCAGACCATAATATATATCATACGTCAACCATTATGTATTATGTATAATAATAATAATTTTCATAAATATTTTTGTGTTTTTCTCATGAATGAAGACGGGCAAAACAGAAAAAGTATCTTGCACCCTCTCTCTCTCTCTCTCTCTATCCCAAAAAATCAAAACAAAATGTGCCTAAAAAAAAACGCGAAAAACATTTTGTCAAGAAAGTAATTTCTTGGCAGAATAGAACACAAAAAAAATAAACCAAAACAAAATCCCATATCTGTATCTGTATCTATGTATCGCTGCTGTTTCTGTGTGTTGTTTCGAGTGGGCCGTGAAACGTCGCCTCGTCCGTGGACATTATCAGCAATTGCAAATTGTTATAAAAGTAGAGAAAACATTTGCGGAAATATGGGTCATCCTCAATAGATAGAAATCTCTCTCTCTCTTCTCTGGCTCTCGATTCAGAGTCCGATTCCGATCCACTTGTGCTCTGGGCCGTTACTTTGGCGGTGGAGGGAAATAAACGAGCATTAGTGCTGGAATAACGGAATAACCTCCCATTTCAAATACTTTTCTCGTAATTACTATAGCCATGGAAAATCTATGGAATATCTGGAGAAATGGTTCAAAGAGAGAACGGGAAACAATGGGTAAAGCTTGGAAAAAAAAGGGGAGGAAAATATAAGAAAAGAAGAAGACAAATATAAGAATCAGGAAACCTGGTTCCCAGTGCCCAGTAGAAAGCAAAAAGCAGTTTAACAGTGTGGAGTTTTAACCCAATGGAAGACCCTTTTGGACCCTTCTTTGATAGTTTGTCCCTTGGGAAGAAAGAAGACCAACACCATATAGAATCAGTAGTTGTTTTTTTTGTATTTTGGAACCCTTACCAGCGAAACGCGCGTTATGCACAGGACATGTACGCGGTTTTTGTTTTAAATTCTGGGGCAGACTCTTTTGCAGCATTCCCTTATGTGTTTTGAGTCTCGAGTTAAGCATCAATGTGCCGCATCATGTGGTAGAAATAGGGGCAAAGGAACTAAAATTTCGATTCATTTCGATCTAGATATTCATCAGAGACTCATCAGAGAGATTCCACAGCCATGGGAGATGATTATTAAATTGCATTCAGCATTCAACATTCAGCACTTGGCCACTTGGCCGCTTGTCCGCTCCGCTTGCAATTAAATTAAGTTGGAAAAATTAAAATATATATTGAGAATGATTTGTTTTGACAAGTGTCTCAAGAATTCTGTGCTTACGATACTTGGAGTGTTGTTTTGTGGCATTCGAGTATTCTTCAGGTTCAGTTCTTCAGCTCTACAGCTCTTCAGGTTTTTCTTTTCTGTTTGTGGGGCTGTCTAAAAAAGTGTCAGAATCATAGAATTGTGACAGCAAGCACGCGGGACTCATTCTCATATCCCTCCAATTTAATTTCAGAAGCCAGCAATAAAAAAAAAAAAAAATATACACTAAAATTAGATACGTATACACTCGTATTTAGAGATAAAAATATTCTGGGGTGAAATTAGTTGATTTGTGTTTGGTATTTGAGTAAACAGCGGATTCCATAATGTTTTCAATTAATAACAATTGCCGAATGATCGGAACGATGTGTACGGCGAAATGTATGACGCAGAATGTTTCTGTTTCTCAATTTGTATTTTTTTTGTTTTCCAAACTATAACTATGAATTTTTCATTGATTAGCTTATTGTTTTTCCACTTCGATTGAGTGATTTATTAAAGGGAATCAATTGGGCTTGAGGCTTAATTCCCATAGAAGAAAGATTCATGGACTGAAAAGTTACTCAAAAGTGGACTTTAAGCAAAAACAATTGAAGAAAGAACGGAAATACCTTGAGTTTATTTATTGGCTGGGAACATTCTTCCGTTTGCATGTTGATTACTTTCAGCAATGATAACGAATCCCATCGCCATGTGCCACCACTTGATGTCGTCATCGGAAGTGATTTATTCATCGAACGACCCGACCACTCCCGCAATAGACCGAAGCCTAGACGATCCCCCCTTTTTTTTGTTTTTTTTTTTTTTTGTTTGCTCGTTTTGCCCATTCAAGCATAAAATAAATCTAATTTTATCCGAAATAAACGTCACCAGATCACGCTCCATCGCCAGCGATCTACAATATGTGCTCTGCTCTTCCTACTAGGTGACACTCGTACTTCTCGAATTCGCGAAACCACTAGCCCCAAAGCCCCATACCCAATCCAATCCCCAAAAAAAAGAGCACGTCCCATGGGTAGGGACTCTTCTTCCTGTGTCATGTGTCTTACATCAATCTAATGTACATTTCACGGCATACGGAATGCCATGCCGCAACAAGTTCTAGATGCTTGTGTGCACGTAATTGGAATGCAAATTACTTAATTTTCTATGGATTTTCCATACAAAGTTTTTATTTTTTTGATGGCCCGAAAAGCACAAACAATTATACAAGGCATTAAGGCCGCATTAACACTTCCGGTTTAGCAGCTTTAAAAAAAAAAAAAAAAACCAGCAACAAAATACCCTGATTACTACGATTGCAATCGAAAAGGTTTCCCAAAGTTTCGTTTTTGGACTCTGAAAAGAGAACACGTGTTTCCTTAGGCTCGCGCGATGAACTTCAAACCCCACCCCACACACACACACACTCATGCAGGGTGGGGTGGGGGGTAAAAAGCATTTCAGTTCGTTCGCGTGGTAACCGAGGTAACCCCCCCAGAACCAGAAGGCATTAAACTCATTATGGAAACTTGTTTTAGTGGTGTGTTGTTGTTGGGGGGGATTGGGCGAATGGGAATGAATGCGAATGGGAAATGCTCGTGCGACTTATGGGGTGTTGGTACGGTGGACCCACTCAGCAGTTTTCGTCTCTGGGGGGTTGCCAGAGATCTTGTTTTCGGGCGCAAACATTTCCATGGAGATTATTATATTTTCGGAAACTCCATCTGCCACATGTCTCTCTCTCTCTCTCTGTGTGTGTGTGTGTGTTGTGTATTTGTATGTGCTGCAGACACGCATGCGCTGAATGCGCGCTGTCATCATGGGGCTGTTGCCATGCGCAGAGCCAGATATCTGAGCATACCCTTGCTTGCTTCTTATTTTTGCTTTGGAGTTTTGGCACACATGTGGCTCTCAATGAGAGAATGGAGCAAAATGGGGGCACATGCTGCATGAATTGCAATGAATACAGAATATTCTCACTAGTTTCGGACAGACGATTAATGGCCAAAAGATATTTTTGTACATTTTTTGGTGGCCATAAAAGGAGGTTTCTTTTGTGGAATCTTGAATGAACTTTTTCTTCTTCTTTTTTTCCCTCTATGCCAATGCGAAAGATTCGTTACGAAATATGATCCTTTTAGAAGTTCACAGCAGGAGCAGGAAGATGAGGGGGGACGGGATCAAAGTGTATCTCAGGGTTCGGGTTCGTTCATTTTCCATCTTCCACCCTAATGATCCGCTTCACTGCTGCCTCCACTCAACTCTTTCGGACGAGTCTCGTCTCTCGAGTTCGCTCATTTTATGGCGCTGTAATATGTGCCGGGCCTCGTTTCCTTTTTGCTCCCTTTACTCTTTGTGTTTTTTTTTTTTTTTCTTCTGTTTTTTGTTCCCCTTTTAGTAGCTTTGCCGCGTTTCTACTTTGTAAGAGCCTCTTCGTTGGAATTCATTCAACTTTGGCGATCTGCTCTGTATTTGTTGTTGTTTCATTTCATTTCGTTTCGTTTCGTGTTGTTTCTGTTGCTAACTTATGAATGATCCCAAAGATCCCCAATGATCACGATCATGATGATGATGATGATGATGCATTTGTGTGTCCACAAATAGAATCACGCGCGCCTTTAATTTCCGTTGCAATTTTTGGCACCCTAAAGGGGGAAGTCTCTCCGCTCTGCTCCCGCTCTCTTCCTCCCTCATAGAAAGGTGGGGAGGGGGGATGGCGATGGGACACACGTAACGACGTTTTCATTGAACCTTCCAAATACAGCAACGACCCCCGTCTGCTCACTCACTCACTCGCTATGCAATATTCCAAGCAATTCCCATTTAAATTTCATTCCCATTACAATGTCAATTCCATTCAGTAGCTCCTCGGGGATTAAAGCGCGGCGTCGCCTCTCCATTCCACAATATTCCTTGCGATTCCCATTTCAATTTCAATTTCAATTCCATTCAGGCGCCGCCGCCGACGTCTTTGCAAATTTTCGCGATTCAATGCGCAGCGCGGCGCCTCCTCATCCATCTCCTCGTAAATCACACGCCCCCAAGCACCCGCATAGCCGCCTAGACGGAGGGGGGGTGATCTAGAGTGGGCGTGACATATCATTTGAATACTAATTTATTTTGCATTTGCCCAAAGGAATACAATAACTTCAAAGTGAGAACAACAAATTACACTCGACTCGAAATTCCAAAGAGTTATCTTCGTGGTTCGGGTTCTCTCCATGACAGAGGGCGGAGGAGGGGTACGGGTGAGCACATGGAGCCGGCGCGCTAGGCACGAACTGGTACCTGTTTTTCGTGTCTTTTATTTGTTTTATTTTGTCTTTAATTTATAATTTTGTTGTTGTTTTTTTGCTTCTCGTTTTCGTTTGCCCAAAAACGAGAAACTGTCCAGATTCCCCAAAAGATTTCCATTCACAGGGGCAAGCCAGTCATTGAGTGGTTTTCCAGTGAAAGCCAAGAAAAGAAAACTGGATGCTCCGTAGAGAGGCGAACAAAAATCCCCCCTTCATTGATATGCGTATTTTGTGCATCGTGAATAAGGTTTTAAGAGGAGCAAAGAGATTCCGATTGATTCTCTTTCGTCGTCATACCATTTAACTTTAAGGAGTTGTTTTTACGCCAATAAAAGCTTAAAAAATATTTATACGATTTCTTGGAAGCAGCATGGATCACATGCCCGTGTTCTTCACCCTTTCAAAGGTAGAAAATACTCACTCTGCTCGTTCCAAGCTTTATCAACATGTTATCGGTACAGACAGTTCCAAGGTGCTGCCCCCCCGAATATTATGGCGTTTGTGGAAATTCAAGGGAAACGAAATAGTAAAAAGATATATCAACAGCATCTGAAGTTCAAGGGAAAAGATTTTTGGCCAAGTTTGCTTTTGGTTATGGCCATAATCCATAGAGAGAAGAGAACAGAGTGGAACATACCCTCCTCTGGTGGTGGGTAGGTAGATCATTCATATCTTATCTAAATAGGAAGCAACTGGATGTGTTTGTGTGTTGTGGTGTGGTGGGGGCTGGTGGGGCCACGTGGTCCGAGCCTGCCCTAGGCTCTGCGGCGAAAAAGATAGCAAACGCAAGCGAACAAAAATCGAATACGAATTCGCCGTATTCCACTTATCAGAGAGTCGAGGCGAGGCGAGGCGAGGCGAGGCAAGGCAAGTCGAGTCGAGTCGACTCGATGATGATTCACTGTGTCGTCATCATCGGCCATAGCGTCGTAGTAGCCTCAAAAGTGAATTGGTATGACTCTGGGTTTTTTTTTGTTTTGCTGGGTCTTGGGTGTTGCTTTCTTCCCGCGTTTGCCAGCTAATCGTTCGTTTAGTTCGTTTTCAACTGCAAGTGCAAGCGGTTTGTGCTTTTCAACGCGATCAATAGCGCAGAGACTCACTTTTACAACTGGATAAAATCTAATCTATCTAAATCTAAATTAATGTAAAGGAATAACAGTGTCAGTGTCGCGTTTTTATGCACCATGGGTTTCAATCTCGAGGAGTTCTTGCAGTTTCATTTACAAAAATTTTGTAGGTCAAATCAACATCAACAACAACAACAACAACGAAAAATGATAAAAACAAAACAAAACAAAAAACTAATTCCAACTTTCATCCGCTTTTCTTTCAGATGACAAGATGCAACAGCAGTGTAATCCGAATAATAACAACAACAATGCCAATAACGGTAACACCACTGGCCACAATTTCAACAACCATCAAAGCAACGGTGGCAACACCAGCAACAACAACAACGGTGGCAAACGCTGCCCCGGAAAGTATTCCAATAGCAATTGCAACAACGGCAATATGCCTGCCTACAACAACAACAACAATAACAAGAATGGATCCCGCAAGAATCGCTACAACAACAACAACAATCAGAATCACAATCAAAATCAAAATCAAAAGCAACGTCACTTCTATGGCAATTCGCAAAAGCGAATCGATGGAGCAGGCGGCGATATGGATTCCACTCTCAATGTGGAATCGCAACCACAATCCTGGCGCAACTACGGCGGACACCATCTGGTGAATTCTTCATGCATCGAAGGTGAGTGTTTGGCAGAGAACAGAACAGTGCCGAAATCTTACAAGTACTTTTGGATGGGGAATCACACAAAGGATATGACTCTTCATTTGCTTTCTTGCTCCCATCACTTTCACATTGATGCACAAGCGAATGCTGGCAAAGAGAATGCCCGGGAATTGTACGCATTTTGCAGAAAGTCTCAGCAAGAATTGGCAAAAGGGATCATCTGTAGAGACGCCAGGCCATAGAGCGGAAAGTTGTGGTGTTTTGTTTTTCAGAAGTTACTCCCACACTTGATTCTCGGTTGAACTATATTGGCCAGCAACAGCTACGCCCTGAGATACACAGACACAGACGCTGATTCATTTCCATTTCCATGCCGATTACGAGTCGCCTTTTTGTTTTGTTTTTGGTTCATAAAATTCCAAGCAAATCAAGCGACCGGCATCTACAAAATGAATCACACATACAACAACAACAACAACAAACCAAAAAATCAACGTCATCGATGGGAACGGGTATCGTATCGTCACTTGTGGTCGTGGGCTGTACTTTTTAACTGATTTGGCTGTGGATCTAGCTCTGATTATGTGCATGTTGTTGTTGCATCTTTGGGTCAGAGACAGAGACAGAGCCAGTGGTCCCAGCACAGCAGTGGGTGAGTGAGGGGGACTGGACGTTAATTAGGCAAATGCGTTTGATTGGAATGGCCTCCTTCCCACGAAACGCATCTGGTGGCCTCTGATGGACTGCCCGTCGCTTACAGATGAACGAGTACGAGTACAGTCTCGTCGAGGGAATTCTAGTGGGAGGTGCTCCAGTAGATTGTTGATTGTCGATTGGCAGGGAGCAAAACATACCAAACTTTGCATTTAATTCATGCGTAATCATTTATTTGGGTCGACTATCTATCCATCCATCTACCTATACCCATAAGTAGCCACCCCGTAGGGTGGGTAAACCTCAGTTATCAACATTTTTCAATTGACTCTTGACCACAGGCGGAGACACAGAGATATCGTTGGTTTACAGAGATAGAGAGAAAGAGTGCTGGTGCTGCTGCCGCTTCTGTTTTGCTTCTATTTATATACGCTGTCTGGTTGCCCGATTTACAGAATATACAGAAATTGCAAAGGTTCTGCTCGGCACGTTTCTGCTCATAAATAGGAAAATTGCAGGAAATCTTCGCTTAAGCTTAATGAACCTCAGATCGAAACGAAGCGCGCTCAAGATAGTAGCAGCAATAGCAGCAGCAATAGCAATGATGGGGACATAAATGTGACGCAATGTTGGGAGGGGATGACGAAGATATTCTCTCGTAGAAATACAAATAATTTTATTGGGAGACCCAGTCCCGCTGCCTGCTATCGCTTTCGCTTTCGTGCGAAATTCCTCCCATTAAAAATCAATTCAAAATTCGGACGAAAAAAGATTTAAACAAAAAAAAAACACACACAACAATAAAGCGAAATTAAATAAACAAACAAAAGCGATTGGGCGAAAGAAAGGAAAGGTAGAACAAGTCGTAAAAAGCCAAACAACAACAACAAAAACGCCAAATTCAAAACATTTAAATGGAACTCAAATACTTAATCAAAATAATTTGTTCAGTTTCATAATTTCATAATTTATGCCGAAACATAAATTTCTTTCCTCTTATTTACATTTCTATGTGTGCGGTTGTTTTGCACCTGATTGATCATGCATAGATTATATAATCGACTTACATTTCCTCTCTTTTTTCTCTTGGCTTTTCATCCTTAAATATCCCATAAACCCGCCCGTACATTCTATATGACTTATACCCTCCATGTATGTTTAACCTTATCCAATTATTGTAATTATAATTATATACATTTTGTTATAATATAAATAGTTTAGCGTAAAGCGTAAGAAAGGAATGAGCAAACTCTCTGTAACATTAGGCTGACAATTTTCACCTTTTACATGCTATTTTGTTGTTGTTTGTTTTTTGATTTTGGCATGAAGCGTGAAAAAAACATTCCAGAATCGTCGTTGTTTTTTGTTTTCAGTTATTTTCTGTTGTTATCGTGCGTCTCCATATACATACATACATACATACTGTGTGTACATATTGTAGATTTTTATATATATTTATTGTATTATTGTCAGGGCGTGATGATGGGGCGGGAAGAAAGCTAAGACGCAATACACCTCTACGTCGACTTGTAGAGAAAGCAGCAGCAAAATCAGCTGATTAGCGCGCAGATTTTTCATCATTTAGACCATTTTTTTTTTGTGTATGTGTGTGTGTTTTTTATTTGTATTTAAATGTGTGAGTGTTGGATTTTAGATTCGATTCGATTCGATTTTATTTGCCAGCGTATCAGGTGTATTATTGGTTATTATTGGTGTATACTCTCTCGGTATAGTGCGGCAATCAGACGTCGGGGTTCGATTGGGTTCGGGTGTTTTGGTCAAACGATGAACTACTGATAATCGCAGACACCAGCAGCAGCACGACACAGTGCGAGAGAATCGACAGAATCGAGAGTATCGAGCACTTACATAACTGATCGTTTTGTCATTGATTAGCACTTGGCCGGAACCGAAACCGAGACCCACACGACTCTAAAGTATACCCCGATCGACCGCTCACATCAGGAAATACAAAACACTGAAAGTTGCACAACTTTTTGGGATGGAAATTTGCACTCGAACGTTAAATCATTAGAGATATTCTTAGCTTGTGTGTCCATGGCTTTGGCAGAGTAGGAGGAGATTATTAATCATAATCATCTATATGGTAGACTCTTGAAGCAAACGTAACCTCGAGTTCCACTTACCCAAAGATCGGAAACCCTCCTCCAAGCCACAGAGCCAGTAGCCAGTATTCAATTAAAAGTTTATACCCCCGAGAGATGTAATAAAGCCAGCCAGCCAGCCAGCAGCCAGTCGTCTTATATGGCCCACAAAGAGCCATTAGATAATTGTTTTGGCCAAGAAATGAGCGAAATTAACGCCTCCAAACGGATGAAAAATGTCTGTCTGTGGCAAAAGGCATCTGTGGCATTCGATGACTGCAACCGCCAGACGCATTTTTCACGCCCTGTTGAATTTCTCACACTCGGCTCGGCTTTAAGGCCTACAATCAGTGTCTCTCCATTTGTGTAGATACTCGTATTCCATGTTCAGTGCTGGCTGCTGGCTGCTTGCTCCATTCTTCCCCTCCATTGACGGGTTGTACTCGTAATTGGAATCTTAAGGAAACTTGAACTCATTTGCGGTGGTGCCAACTAACGGTGGGGCCATATGCCACACGCACTCGATTGATAGTAACGCACGTATAGTGCGTTTCATGCATGTAGTAGCAGTTGTGACCTCAATCAACGTGCTTCATTTGCCATTATCTAAGCAAGCGATAACTAATCGATAAGTAACTCGATTCCTTATCGTTGTGTGACTTAATGACTCTTTTTACCGATAATTAGTATTTTCGGTTCGATAACCGATTGTTGAATATCTGTAGTAGTTTTGTGTCCATTACTAATAGCATGCCATACCATTATGTTCGATTTATTTCGATAAATAATCGAATGATGTAGCTGTGATCGATATGAGACCCGATTCTGTAGCTCAAGCTTGCAACTGGTCGGATATCCATCGCTTATATTGAAACATTTTATCAACTGGCACACCGCACACTTGCGAAACGCACTGTACACACATATTTCACATTCCTGCTCGCATTATTAACCCATTAAAGAGTGCTGCTACAGACGGACACCTCTCGAGACACATACATATGTATGTACATATGTATGTACATTTGTGTGTGTGCATTTGTAACATGGAATGGTAAAAAAAAAAAGAGTGCTCACACTTTAGTTATTGCTATTGTGATTGCGGTCCACAATCATCAGCTTCATCCTCATCATTATCATCATGTTTCGCATTTCTTTAAAATATGTAGCTCTGTGAAATAGCTCTTTGTATCTCCCGACTTCGACTCCGACTCCGACTACGACGCTCTGTCTCGACATCGTAGCCGCCGGCAATAGTCAAGGTTAACATGTTTGCCATTTAATCCACGGGCGTTTACCCAATGTCTGTGATCTCTCTGTGATGAGATGTGACCAAAGATCGCGTGTGATCTCGCTACCTGCTTGCTACATTGTACAACAGTCCACAGTGCTAGTCGTCAGTCGTCAGTTTTCTACACGATCCCCAAAGATCAACGATCTGTGATCAGTTTTGCATTTAGCTCTACAGAAGACAGTTCCTCACTTTCGGGGATTCTAAAATGGGCTACTATTATGGGGAAATATACAAAGAAAAGAAAAGCTTTTCATTGCTTTTCTATGTTTCCCCAGGAAGAGTATGGGACCTCGACGTTTTGTTACCTGCATTTTCACCACTTTAATTGAAAGATAAATATTGTTGGCAAAATATTCACCGTTATTAGACCCCCCCCCAATAACAACACAAAGTGCCATAAAGATTAATCAAATCCTAGGCTATTTTGGTAAGTAATTGTTGTATGTCAAAATACTGTGATAGAATGTGTAGAATGATAAGGAAACTTAAGGACTTTGGGCCAATACCAGGGAATTATCTAATAGTTACAACCAAGTTTAGGAGTTTAAACGTACATATGTGCATACATATATGTATGTATCAGTTGCATATTGTTTTAAGTTTTTGTTTTATGGCTCTGGCTCGTTGTTAAATCTCTTTTTTTGTGTGTTCGTTGTGTGTCTGTGACCTCAATGCAAAAAAAGAGACCCCCCCCCTATATATGACTCTCTGTTGTGTATATATTATAGGTACATACATACATACATATGTATGTACATATATGCATGTATAGTTTATATTTGATTAATAAAACTCATATTAGTTTACATTAAAAGCAAGCCATAGTCGGACCATAACCAGGGGCTGCCCATATCTTTGTATCTACATACTCGTATCTACGGCTATGGGCACATGGATCGAGGGGAAGCATCCACACACACACACACAGCAGTGTTTGTTGTTAGGGATCGGTATGGTATGGTATGGTATGTGTGTTGTGTTGTGACATACGTGAGCGTGTTATGTTCACTCACAATTAACTATCGCGATGGATGTTTTACGAGTATTATCGTTATTGTTATTTTTATTTCTTTATTTTCTAAAGCTCTTTTTTTTGTTTTTTTTTTGGCCCAGAGCCTCATTAAAAATTCACAAGACCACAATTGCGAGTCGAGTGGACGACTCGTCGTACTTCGTAATTGCTGGCTGTGTGCGGCGTGGCTTTTTGTGAGGGTTTTGTGTCTTGTGTGTGTCTTGGCACAGGAAGCGCCACATAAAGTCACGAAGGTCAGCATATAAAACAGAATACAAAATCAAAATCAAAACCAAACAAAATGGTATGCATGCGCCCCTGCCACCCTGCCAACCCCCCAGGGATGCTGTTCTATGGGGTCGGTGGCGGGGGCGATGATAGCTTGCTTGCAAAAATGGGTCATCCCTGTGACGTATGCATTGTGGGAGTCGAATGCGTATTAGGTAATCGATAAACTAATGAAATTGCGTCACTGGAAAGCAAATTCATTGCTGAAATGATAAAACTAATGCATAAATATAGACTTATCTTGTCAGTTGACTGCCCTGCTCTGCCCTGCCCTGGCCTGTCCTGTCTTGTGCTGTGCTGCCCCGTGCGATAACTAATTAAATATATACATATCAATGCGTATAAAGTGCTTTATGTAATTTTACATGGAACAGGCAATTTTTGCGCGGGAATCTGTGTTATGGGAAGGGGCTGGCTGGCTGGCTGGCTCAGTTCATTTGCTGCCAAGCAAATATTTATGATTTCATTTGATTTGTTTCTATACATTTGTATTCGGGATTGCCCCGTTTAGTGGATTGCAGCTTGGAGCTGATTAGATGTTAGACTTCCACTTGACAACGACGACGACGAAGACGAAGACGAAGACTCACACACGCGCAAAGGTGTGTGGAGGGGAGAGACAATCACGACATTTCCTCGGCCACTAGTCCGTGGCCTGTGGCTGTTGCTATTGCCCCGTTGGTAACTGGAGTCGGGACGAACGATTGGCCATCTTATCGGTGCCCGGTAACCAAATTTTTTGGTTGTCTAGCCCCCAGACCCCGGCGGACCCCCCCAAAGCGTACGAGACGGTCAGACATCCTTTTGCTTTCCCATTGGATTGGTTAACATTTAGCAGCACACTTTCAGATAACTGATATACGAGTATTGTGTGCGTCTCTGTCCTTAGATGATGATGATGGTGACGGCATCTCTACTGGAGTGCCCGGAGTAGCTAGTGCTTAACATTAAATCTAATCAAACATTGGCCGCATCACGAGCTCCATATCCATGCTGTGTATGCTCAAAGATTATCATTTAAGCTGCGGACATGCGTTTGTCCCGCTTATTTGCCTAAGCAATCTTATCGGTAGACGTTTTTTTTAAGTGGTTTTTGGCCAGGTTTTTTGTGTGTTGGTTTTTTTTTTTTTGGTTTCTCCAAAGGTTAAGGTCTGCCCGCATGGAGGGAGAGAGAGGGAGGGAGATTACTCATGGCACGCCAAAAGTATATTCCCAAAGGCTTGCAGGACAGGACAGGGCAGGGCATGGCAGGGGGGTTTCAATGCAGGATAAAACCAAAATTCTAGATCAGTGCCCATGGGGGGAGGGCTTGGGGGCATACTGTGCGTGTGTTCGTGTGTGTTTCGCTGTGTTTACTTCTTAATCAGATGTATATTATATGCACACACACACACACACATACATATGTCACACATATGATATATTTCAAGGCTGTTTGGAGAGTTTGGCGCGTGCGTTAAGCCGATGCGCACTCAAAGGCAGCGGCGATAAAGCGATGTTATAGGGCCCCCCTCTGCCCCCTCCATAAATGTGTCCAATTTTGTTGAAGCTTTCGGAAGCTCCCGGTGACAGCTAATTGTTGGGCTTCTGGGCCATTCAGGCCGGGCCCAAAAGTGCTGGCCACGCCCTATCTAATCGGTAACCACGCACACAGCACTCCAAATACGTGAGGAACATACGCTAAACACACACTCGCATGTAAACCATAATTCGAGCCAACCGATACGAGATATCATTTCTCCCAGCAGCAAACGATGACGATGGATGGATGGATGGATGGATAAATGATTCTGTATGCTGCTCACGTCTGGGTGCTTAGTCCGGGGCAGCGTCCTTCGGCTCTGCCGAAGTCAACAAACCCACCTCGTCGCCATATGATTTATCTATGCGCGTATTGAAAGTCAATTGGTGCCTCCCCCGCCACCGACCACCGACCAGCACGCCACACACATCTATGAATTCATCTACGGGTAGTAGTTATTTACGCGTCGGTAGAACTTCCCTGCCCGTCTCGAAAGATGAGACAAGCTCCTCGTGCATAAAAAATTATTAAGGAAATGCTTTTCACTCTACACTTTAAACGAGGAAGCGCAGGGGGCTAGCAGCTGACGGCGGCTAATGAGTGCAGGAAATGCAATGCGAAATGTTAGATAAGAAAGTTTTAGGGGACGTTAGAGACGTCACAAGACCCGCTGCTGACTTGTCTATTGTGACAGTTTGACAAGGTTGGCAGGCGACACTCGATGACAGATTGCTCTACTTGAGAGAGATCTGCGCAATCGAAAGCCGTGACCATGAATGAGAAATTTCCCATATTCAGATTAGGGGTGCAAATGTGATGCATTATGGAACATTAAGTTGACGCCCCCGAAGAACAGGTGTATCTATATTATAGCCATGTGATAACAATCGATAAATATCGATACGCATTTGTTAGATTTATTTAATGATAAATTTCGATTAAGAATCATTTATTTGTGGTATATCGATATATTTCATTTAAATTTCTCGTAAAGTTTGTCCCGTAGAGACTTATCCCACTTATCCCTTAACATCGTTTGCTCAGCCCCAACCCCTTTATACCACCACGTCCCCAACAACCGAACCCACTTATCTCTGTAACAACAGGTCAAGCCAGCTTGCCGGCCAGGTTCTACGCGTGTGCCCAGCCAAGCACCCCCCGCCCGATCAAAAAAAAAAACAAAATCCGTCGCTTGGCAACAGCTCTCCACCCCACAACAGCCCCAACGCCAGCGCCAGCCCCAGCCACCAGCCGATTCCATTCCACACTCCGCCCAATAAAACAACCTGACCCCACACCACCCCACCCCCCGCAGCAGCTTTTATTTGGCTTAATGGGAATGATGGAAAGATGATGAGCTAAACGCGGAAGCCGACGACACAGCGTCTCGTCTCGTCTCGCATACACGTCGCGGAACGTAGAACTCTTAATAAGCGATGAAGCAGGAGGAGGCGGCCGAGGCGGCCAAGGCGGAGACAGATCATAAAATCAGAAAATGTTTATAATTGTAATTCCCAGCAGCAACACACTCACACACAGCCCAGAACTATCCCGAAAGCTGAAAACCCGAAAAAATAACAAAAGCCATAAGATGGAACCTTCGCACATGCCTCAATTTCCAGTCGTGCGTAACCGTAACCGTAGCCCAACACCTCCCCCACCCCCCCTTCCCGATCCCATTCCATGCATAAATCAAAAATCCACACACGCGAAAGCCTAAAACAAATGACGGAAAAACAATGAAATGAAAACGAAAAGTGAAAGAGAGATAGAGATAGAGAAGTGTGAGTGTGAGTGTGAGTGCGAGTGTGTGGGAGATTTGTATGGTGGGGTGGTGGGAGGGGGTAGAGAAACAAAAAAGCACGTGGCGACTGTTGATGTTGATAAGCCTCTCCCATAGCACCACACCACACCACCCCACGATCGTGTTTGGGTTCGTGATCGTGTACGAGTTCGGGCTTCTGTCTGTCTGTGCGTGAGAGAGTGTAGTGTATATGTGTGTGTTCATTTATGTGAATGGGTGTGTGTTACCACCACCCCTACATTTCCCCCTCATCCTTTCATACATACAATTAACTCAATTTATATTGATTTTAATTTAATTTCTTCATCGTTTTCGTTGTAGACAAATTCCTGGGCCAGCACAATCCGGCCCACCGCAACAGCACCAGCAGTGAGACCACTAGCGAGGACATCTGCTCCAGCCGGGAGCAGATCCACAAGCCCAAGGCTGACCACAACAATGCCTCCAATGGGGCCAGCAACAGCAAGCCACACTCGAAGCGGCAGCAGAAGCAGTCGCTGGGCAGGAATCCTGGACAGCAACAGCAGCAGCAGCAGGACCAGAATGGCCACATCAAGGCAGCTGCAGCAGGTGCAGCTGGATTCAACAAAACCAAGCAGCAGGGAAGTGCTGGCAAGTGGCGCCAGCAACAGCAGCAACCGCAGCAACCATCACAACAGCTGCAGCAGCAAAAGCGCGGCAGCAACAAGAAGCAGCAGCAGCAGGGCAGCAACAAATGGTGCAACAGCAATAGAGGCAGCAGCGGCACACATGGCAGCGGGGGCGCCGGGAACAGCTGCAACAACAGCAACATGAACATGAGCAAACCGAGCGGCAACAAAAATCGCAATGTGGCCAAGAATCTGGCCAACTCCTGTGGCAGCAGCAGCTTCTCGTCCTCATCGTCGGCCCTCAGCTCGTCTGCTGGTAGCTCTCCGAACAGCTCGCCGTACGCGAATGGCAACCGGAAGCGTGCCAGTGGCGGCGATCAGTGGCGCCATTGCAACAACCTGATGCTGCAACAGGGCCAGGTGAACGTGAACTTCCTGGTGCCGCCGCTGCGGCAGCGCGAGCAGTTGAAATTGGACGACCAGGAGGTGATCGAGCGGCTGCGCCCCCACCTGATTGACCAGCACCTGCTGCGTGTGTACGGCTTCCCCGTGGAGAGTGTGGTGCACGAGGGCGCCATCGAGATCTTCAAGTGCATGCCGAATATGAATATGGCCGCCGCCCGTGCTATGTCGCTGACGCTAGAGCGGGAAATGCAGTACCGTGAACAGGCGCCGCAACCCGTTATCAACTACGATGACGGCCTTCCCACGGAGGAGTCACAGGCGGCAGCAGCAGCCGCTATACAGATGGGCATGGTATGGGAATGGGAGCCAACAAATGCTTCACCATCTCCACAGACTCGGGCAACAGTTCGCCGAGCTCGCTGGACTCGGAGTCCGGCGAGTGGAGCGGCAGCGAAAGCGGCGAGTCGTCGTCGGCGGGCACAAGCAGGCCGGAGATGAAGTACTATCAGTACGCCAACAGTGTTCACGCACATGTGGACCGCAGCCTGGCCAAGCCGTGTGCCCGCTGCAAGCGTCACTTCCTCGTCGATGAGATGACCGGCGAGTATCTGACGCGCGAGGAGTGCGTTTACCACGAGGGCAAGTACAATCGATTCTACGATGGCACCTACATCGGACGCTGGACCTGCTGCAATGCCACCGACGAGTCAGCCGAGGGCTGCAGCCAGGGCGAGCTGCATGTGTGGACTGGCTCTGCAGTGGGCGTCAACGGACCCTACTACGACTTCGTGCGCACCCAACCAGCAGCCCCCGGGGGCTACAACTTTGGGCACACACCGTCGGTGTACGCCCTCGACTGCGAGATGAGCTACACGGGCCGTGGCCTCGATGTGACCAAGGTGTCGCTGGTGGCCCTCAACGGGCAGCTGGTGTACGAGCACTTTGTGCGCCCCGACTGCGACATCATTGACTACAACACACGCTACTCCGGCATCACGGAGCAGGATCTCCGCTCGGGCGATGTCAAGTCCCTCGCCGAGGTGCAGCGCGACCTGCTGCAGCTGATCAGCGCCGACACCATCCTGATCGGCCATGCTCTGGACAACGATCTGCGAGCTCTGCGCATCGTCCATCACACGCTGATCGATACCTCGATCACGTTTCCCCATGGCAGCGGATTCCCCTTCCGTCGGGCCCTGCGCCTGCTCACCAAGTACCACCTGCACCGCGAGATCCAGTGCGGGGATGGGACAACGGGTCACAGCAGCTTCGAGGATTCGCGCGCCTGCATGGACCTCATGCTGTGGCGTGTGCGTCGTGAGCTAGATCCCACATGGCGCTGGCAGGGATAGGATCGAAGATCGACAATCCACAATCTAAGATGGAAGATCGAGAATGCGGATGCACACAACTGGGGTCGTGTGCATAGTTGGGCGGGTTATTTTAGTTACATGTAGTTATTATAATATTGGGATGGGTTTCTGGGGGTAGGGCTTAGACCCTTTGTGTGGGCCCATGGGGGACGGGGACCCACCCACCGCTTAGTCGATAACCCATAGATATATTTTATATTCAAATCTCAGAAGTGTTTTCGAAATGTTTTGCAGTAGCGAAGGGGGGGCAGCGAAGGCTGCCCTGCCCGCATTGCCGATGAAATAGTTCACAAATCAAATCAAAGTAATGACAAAAACGTTGATGAATAATAAAAAGTAAAACACACAAGAAGAAAAGATATATCTATATACATATACATTTATATATATATATGTAATTCGTAGGCGTACTATATTTATACTCTATATAGAACTTTAATCTACATATATGTAAATACAAATATAGTTTTTTTTTTTTATTTAATTAATTTTTTTTTCGAACCACAAGAAAATGTACTGAAGTTTTAGCTGTGATGTTTTTTTTCACTTTCTCACATATTTACACGACAAAAAAGAAACAAAACAAAAACAAATATAAAAACAAAAAAGAAGAAAAGCCACAAAAAAAAGAAAAGAAAATACAAAAAGATATATGTATAAACATACATATGTGTATATACATATATATATCTAGAGAGGAAGGGTAACCGAAATGCCTTTCATATTTTGTTCGACCAAAACTTTCGACAACAACCACAACAAATCACTCCATTTATCACGATATATTTTTAGTTTCGTTTTCTTTAACATTTAACATTATTTTAATTTTTTTATTTGACAAAAAGTACGAATGAAGCATCTCATATATCAAAAACAAAACAAAAACAACAAGAAACGACGGAAGGAAAGTTAAAAACTTTCCAAAAATTTAACTACTTTATACACTATGCATAAATGTAAGTTAGGTTCTGCCCCTGCCCGCGCCACCCTCCACCCCACTAAACGTAGCTCTTTACTTTTTTTTTTCTTTTTCAAGGATTAAGTATAAATATTTATTTAACGATATCGCGCACACACACAAAACTGTTCATTGAAGATTCTTCAAGTGTATGATGATTTTTCACATTGAACTTCGAACTTCTCCATTTTAGGCTTAAGAGTCCCCACACCCCCCAGCAAGTTATTAAATATGATTTTCTATACAAGAAAAAAATCCAAATATATATGTATCTATGACAATGAGCGATTGGCTCCACTTTGCCAGCACCCCCATTGCTGATTGGGTGGGGGTGGTGAAGTGGAGTGGCACCCGAGGAATGAAATTCTTCATTCGATTCGACAATTGATGTTCCTAGTAGTGGAAAGCGCGCGTACACACACACACAGAATAAAACAATTTGTTAGTTTGGAGTGTATTTTTACATGCATAAATATTACAAATGAAATGGATATATACGAAAAAGGCAATGGAAATGGAAAAGATACAAATGCGACTGCACTCTGCACGAAAAAGCAAAGAAATAAATTGAACGATTTAACGATTGAACCACAATAAAAGAAACATTGATTTGTTTAAAACTAAATATCACTTTAAAAGCAACACTCGTTCTTATTAAACAGGCGGGGGGGAAGGGAATGGGAATGGGGATTTATTTCATTGGTGATTTTTAGATATTTTTGCTTGAATGTCACCACAGATCAGATCCAATAAGAGATCATCGGAATACGAAGACTACAAAATATGGAAAGAGAGAATTAATTCCTCCAAATGTACATACCTACTGATGAATCATTTATTAGTCATTACGTGGAGGGGAGTTTGGCACTCACCTTTCTTCCTAAATTCATACGAATACGAATGAATATATTTATTTACCTTCGACGGGCAGCAGCAGCAGGTGGGTTTTACAACAGACGAGTACATACATACACTAGTACATACATATAAATATGTATGAATGTATGTACGTATGCTGTTTACACTTTACCGCTTGTCACCTTAGCCAAACGATCAAGATCAAACCGCATCAGCCACATGTATCTGTATCTTTTGGCCCTGCAATCGGAGGTCAATGCATTGCAGATGCAAACTGTGGGTGGAAAGGGGTGGGGGGCTTTGGCTCTGGCTCTGGCTCTGGCTGTGGCACCACTTTAACATTTCATGCAATGTTCTGCAGCACCTGGGATTTTCAGGCACTTTGCGGAAGCAAAGGCAGGCTCTCGGTGTATGATCAGCCGAGGGCATGTTTGTACGTACGTATACCATTATACCTATACCATTATTTGCCCAACTAAGTAAGCAGAAAGCGAGTGCCAAAGCGAGAGCCGAGCATCTGCGTCGCAGAAACTATCGCGGCTTACATCGTGGGGCAGTGCTGTGCGGCAGCCAACAGCTGCTACGGTGTACGGACGAGACAGAGAGAGCATCTAATTGCCCAGATTGTTAAGGAAAAGGTTATCGCCGTGCGTCTGACGTAAATTTTGCCTGTCTTTAGCACTTGAATGAGTGCAAAGCGAGCCACCAGCCACCAGCCAGGCAACATGCCACACACACTCACTCGTGTGGCTGGTGGTGCGCAGTGGTTGGTGTGTCTTCGAGCTATAGGCGCTGAAGAAGTGAAAGTAGAAAGTGATTCAAGAGGTGGCGGCATGTTAATGGTGCTGATCCCAAACCGATGCTGATGGCGAAATACGAAATGGGTTGACATACATAAAGCAGAGCGCCGCACGCCGCACGCCCACGCGACGGATTTCCTCTTACCACAAAGTTCGGGCAAATGCTGTCCGAGTTACATTACGGCATTGTGCTCGATTTTTAATCGATTTAATTTCTTGCTTTTGCTCTGCCGGACAGGCGTTTGGCCAGGGGCATGGGAGAGGGGATAGGAATAGAGATAGAGGGGCATGCTTTTGCGGTTGATCCAATCCAAACCGATCCGATACGATCCGACTATCATTTGACGGATGAAGGCGATCGACTAAATATAAATTGAATGTTCGTGTTTGGCACATTTGTGCGAGAAATCGCATCAATTGTTTTAATTGTTTGGTATATAGACAAACTTTGTGATGTGTTAGCGATACAATATATATGTAAGCATCTACATACATACATATGTATACATATTATAATGTAGAACTGCTGCTGCTGCCTGCTACATACTGCTGGTGTGTGCAGCTCACGAAAAACAAACGAAATCTATAACAAAGCATTTGCCAGCAGCCAGCCACAGGTACTATGTAGGTGCTATTATGCAATCAACACACACACATAAGCACACATCGAGAATCTGTTGTTGATAAAGATAACACGAGAAACGAGAGAGTCTACCACTTGGCCAGACAATCGGTCTCCTCTCAATATTTGCAGGCAAAAATTGATTGCATTTATTGAAATATTCACTGATTACAGCAGAAGAACCAACCGAGAGGTGCTGCTGCATAACGCGCGACACGTACATGTGTACATACATACATAGGTATATGAGATCCCACCTTTTGGTTGGGCAACCGATTATCTCTGCTTAGAAGCACGCATCCATCCCACACACAAGCCTTGGGAGATCCCACAAATATGTACATATGTATGTATGTATGTATATACCATTCAACTAAACAGATGTACACATTGAGCCAATGAACCATGTGGTTCAATGAATAACAGCCAGCCAGCCAGGCCGGCCCCATGATTCATCGATATATTTATGCAAATTCAACTGGTGTAATAGTCCCAATAAATTTTGAAATTAACCAAAAAAGGCGAAACAAACGAAACCAAGTCGAGTCCAAGTCCCCCGTCCCCCAGCACCCCAGCACCGATGATGATTCACTCATGTCAGCATTTCTCGTAAGAAGTCCAAGCGGCGTCACAAATATATATTTATACTTATGCACACAATTTTATTTTGTTTGGCGTCACCTGCTGACCCCCGTAGCCGTCAACAGAGCACGTCCACGTCCACGTCCACGTCCTGCGGGTCTATCATTGAGCCAAAGAAAATACTAATTTTATATAAAGTATTAAGACAGGCAACAGACAACCTCATAGCTACACATCTGACCATATATGGGTATAAGGAATACCAATCAGATAAGTTCTAAATGTTGAGGGTTTCGGCTTGGGCAGTATGTAACCTGCAAAGGGGTTCTATCTATCCACAACCATGCACTGAAACGTGACTTCTCAGCGGTGCATTTGTCGATAAGCTTGTCACGATTATTAGTCGCCGCATCGATGACCAATGACCGATGACCGATGGCAGTGCGTGGAAAACAGAATAGAGCCAGAAGCAGAGACCAGATACGATATAGCAAAATGTTAACAAATGTCGTCATTTGATTTGGACACATCATAGCGTATGCGATGACGTGATGGCGCTGCTGGCACACAACTTGACCAAGAAGAATTTTGTTGGGGTGCTCGGGCTCCCCATGACATAATTAACCCAAAACGGAGCCATAAATGTGTACATGCACATATGTACATATGGAGCGGAGGATACAGAGGTAAGATGATACTCGTACGAGTACGAGTATGGGGTAGTGCAGCACGACACCCCACCCCACCCCATCCCATATTTGGGAATTGTGTGGGGAAGCAGTAAATTGCTTTCCATTTTCCGTGTCAGTGGAATTGCAACTGAGAATGCGAAAGCGAACTGTATTGGCAGTGAAAATGCAAATGCAAATGATCTGTTGCCTGATCTATATGTATGTACAATGTACATATGTATGTATGTCAATTTGTTCAATTGAATGCCGAAGAGCCTGCGACGAACCATGACTAAAGCATGGACTGTCGCTTTTGGCTCCATGGCAGGAAAAGAAGATTTCACAAGAATCGGTCGAGCTGTTTGCGAGGATTATTTTCAGTAATTTGTGGGGCCAAATAACTTAGTCTGCACTGTCAGCTGTCCGCGCAACGCTCGAATTTGATATCGTTCAGGTTTGGGTTCGTTTCGAATCGTTTTTGGTTACAAAATGCAGCAAGAAATGAGAGAAATAATCGCTTTGGAATTTGGAATTTCTTTTCGGATGCGTTTCGAGCATCATGAATCATCGCAGCAGCGCTCTCTTACTGGCGCTCTCTCTCTCTTTTTCTGACTGTTTGTCTCTCACTTTCGCCATGTACTCGTAATGTGATTGAGGAAAGAAAGGGAAAGGCCATAGGTTTCAGATCCGTTAGAGTACTCTCTCTCTCAGTCTCTGACTCTCTCTGAGAGTGTTCATCTTGCTTTTGAGCATAAGAATTTCTATCGCAGGGTATCCAAAGTTTCATATCTTCAGTTAAAGAGAGAGAGAGCGGAGCGAGAGAGCGGCAGAGTGCAGCGGGAGCACTGTACAGAATAGCAGAGCCCTAGCAGATCGATTAGCTGAACGGTTAATTCAAGTTGAAGGCCTTTGGCGCGTCATCCGAGTAGATGTATGCTGTATGCCCGTGTGGCTAAACAAACGCACCTTGGCGGCCAATTTCATTTGAGTTTTATTAATTTTGTTGTTTCAGGCCTGTATACGAGTATTTACCTTGCATGGTCGCAGCTTTTCGTCGGCACGACACCCACAGAGCCAGAGCCAGAAACAGTGACAGAGGCATATGCAAGGGGTACTCCGTATAGATACTGATCTGATCTGAGCTGATCTGCTGTGCTGTGGTGTGCTATGCCTCATCCTACACGTCCGTCGATAGTGCCCCTGATGGCGGTTGGTGAAAGTTCAAGGCTGTTTTTTTCGTGGGCTTTGCAACAAGTAAACATTAAAATACAATCAAGGTTGTGTGTACCAGCACATGATAAGAAGCAAGAGAAGCACAAGTCGGAAGGATCAGCACCATTGGCAACGGGAAGGATAAGCACCCTAGTCATTCTTCTTTATTATTTATGTTCTAGTCCCCCAACTTTGCAGCCCATAATGATGAAACATTTTTGAATCTTTATTGCAATGTTGGGATGGAATCAACAGAGCAGTCGAATGTCTGTAGAGTGCAGCAATCCAAGCAACCAAACAGACTCAACAAAATGTAGTTCCATGTACCTACCTACCTACCTCGTAATATTGTTAGTAATACTTGATCACCATATCCTTGACTTTGAACTTCAGCTATAGCCTTTGCACGTCTATAGGCTCCGGCCCTATGTTTCGTATTCCTGATTTAGCCCTTGTACTGTTCAAAACTATCTAGAAACTACAAAATTCTCCAAAAGAAAATAGTTGAAAAAAAAAAAGAAACTTTCGAAACTAATTACGAATTTTGCCCGGTTGAAATTGTGATCGTCGCTTTAAACCAAAAATGGCGATGATTTTGCAGTACTCACAGCGCCTGTCGTCTGTGAAGTTGGAGAAGTGGCAGATCGGCGTTCTCTGCAGCGCACCATTCGTCATCGGGCTGGGATCGATTGCGGCCAAGAAATTATTCGGCGGCAAGATGAAGGGCAAGAAGATGGAAGCTGCGGAAAGCCACACACCCGCCCAGAAGCTGGCCCTGTCCAAGGAGGCCATAGTTCTTAAGACGGAGGGCAACAATTGCTATCGCAGCGAGAGGTACGAGGATGCCGTGCTGTGCTACGACAAGGCAATCGAGAAATGCCCAAAGGACCAGTCCATCGATATGTCAATGCTATTGCATAATCGTGCGGCCGCATATGAGATGTTGAAGAACTGGGACAAGGTCATGCAGGACTGCACCGAGTCATTAGAGTACAGTCCCCGTTACTTTAAGTCCTACGCCCGTCGTGCTCGTGCCTACGAGGCCCGGAACCAGCTGAAGGCAAGCCTAGACGACATCACGGCTTGCTGCATACTGGAGATGTTCCAGAACAAGCACAGCATTGTGTTCGCCGATCAAATACTCAAGCTGACGGGACGTGAAGATGCCGATGCCGAAATTGCCAACCGGCCACCGATTGTGCCGTCGCTGTTCGTCGTCAACTCCTACATGCGAACATTCATCGACGATCCGCTGCAGACCATCAGCGTGCAAGCTTTGGCGAAGACACCCAGCCCCAACGGCTTTGTGCGCGCACACTGGGCGTTCCGCGGCGGCGCCTTCACCGAAATTATACCGGGCTGCACGGAGGAAATCGAGGAATCCCTCAACGAATCCCCCTACAAGCTGGAAGCCCTGCTGATGCGCGGCACATTCCATATGCTCTCCAACTCTTTCGTGGAGAGCAAGCGCGACTTTGGGGCCATCATCGACGACCCCAACGCCGATGACCCGTTCCGTGCGTATGCCTATATACGTCGTGCCACTGTCCACACCCTCCTTAACGAGAGGGAGGCTGCCATAGCCGATTTTGATGCTGCCGAGGAGATACAGTCAGCCAACCCGGACGTGTACTTACAGCGTGCTCTGGTTCTAATGCCCCAGGATCACACTGAAGTGGAGCTCGCACAGTACGAGATGGCGGTGGCCCTGGCACCAAACAACGGCTTTGCTGTCATCAAGAAGTGCTATGTCGACTATCGTGCCACCCTCCTCACTGGGGGCAACGAGAAGCGCAAGGAGGACGCAATGCGCCGCTTTCAGGAGGCCATCGTGAAGTTTCCCCAGTGCGTCGAAAGCTACAGCTTGATGGCCCAGGTGCTGGTCGACCAGCAGGACTTTGCCAATGCCAATAAAAAGTACGAAGAGGCTCTCAAATTGGAGCCCTCCAATTCGTCCGTGATGGTCCAGCATGCGCTCATGGTCCTGCAGTGGCGTGGCGACAAGGAGATGGCAACAGAGCTGCTCAACCAGGCTATTGTGGTCAATCCCCAGTGCCAGCAGGCGTACGAGACCCTAGGCACCATCGAGGTGCAGCGCGTGCACCTCAAGGCAGCCGTTGAGCAGTTCGACAAGGCCATAGGCTGCTGCAGCAGCTATGAGGACCTGGTGCATGCCTTTGCCCTACGCAATGCGGCCCAGGCTCAAATCAATGTCACCGACAAACTGAGCATCGACATCGAGGGCATGAACGAATTGGTCCAACAGCGCCGCCCACGACCAACCCCCTACTAGCAGTTCCATTCCGACTTCTTCGCCCCAACAATTGTACTCTAGTTAGTTGCATATATCCAATTATTTCTGTTACATTATTATATTTGCATTTAAAAAACACATTTCGGTCCTTGGCTTTTGGGTTCTAGCAGTGATCCAATGCCAGTCAATTTCTGCCATTCCCCGGGACCGAATCTGCAGCCAAATGCATCTGTTGACCGAGCACTTGCCGCAAATATTTGAAGATGCATTTCATTGCATCACCGCGTCTGACTGAAATTTAAAAAACATTTTACAGTGCAAGATAAGGCACGAACGAACCCGTTTATGGAACCAGCTCCAAACTCCCCCCATCCCATCCCATCCCATCGCATCGCATCCCCTGGCGGTGCCATGTGGGACCAGTCGCTGGCTAGGGAAGATTTTCGGCGGCTTTCGTGTCAAAATTTGTGTGTGCATCGGGCAGGCGCGCGTGTTACCGCGTGATAGGGGGGCGCCATGTTGTCATACTACTTTCAAAATACATATTATAAAAATACAAACAAAAAACGTGAAGCTCGTGGGCTGTGGAATTTACGGCAATTTGTCTGGTGGCACTGCAAGTTTGTGGCTTGCTGCTTACTGCTCACGGCTTGCCTGTTGCCTGTTGCATGTTGCATGACAACAATGTATCATATTTTTTGGTTCGTTCATTACATGACGTGGGCGGCTCTGCATTTCCTCGACGGCTGAAGACTGACGGACGATCCAAAACCCGGAAAAGGAAAGCGCAGTGCATGATTGCTACTCGTATGATTGAGTAATTATGGTGTTGGCGGCAACTCAAGTTCAGCGCCGCCGTGTTGCAGTCCAAATGGTAGCCAAGGCAGGAGGGTCGGCTGCTGCTTTATCTTAGCTTTATAATTGCAAAAAAGACTTGTACCAATTTCAATGTGAAGCGTAGTTTCATAGTTTTAATTGCTATTGCACCAGCGCAGGTAAATGTAAACAGTTGCCAAAAGTGGCAAGCCGTGGTTATACATGATTATTCCATCTGATCGATTTAGATGTATATATGTATGTATTATATATATATATATGTATGTGTATAGGATTGAGTTTAAGGCTTAATGCTTTTATGTATGTACATACGATGTGGGTTAATTTGCAACTACTCGTAACTTTGGTGCATATGGCTACGCGAATTGTAAAAAAAAAAAAATAAAAATAAAGAAATGACGACAGCCAGTCCTTGTCCGTCCCAGTACGAGTACCGTCTGTGACTCCTGGCACGAGCGCACTTTGGAAGACTTGAGTTGGCCTGAGAATGACATGGATGTTCGTTCGCCCTCCAGCTAATCGCTGGCCGGGGCAGTTGTGTGCTGCTTGTAAATGACGCCAGTTATCTCACCATTCCTCTGGATGACGCAGCGCCTGTGCAGTCGGTTATGGGGGGAGCAGTCGGTTATGTGGCAGATGCAAGCGCTCGTTTAATCACTTACCTATTTCCGCTGTATAGGCAGATGGTTGGATGACGTGCATCTGGTTGAGCCACCGCATTTTTGGGCTCCAGACCCGCAACCTGATCAGATATGGCCATGCCGATCCCAGAGACATTCGGATTGATATCGCCCTTGGCTGCAACGCATTGCTCGTTATCAGTGTGGCACAACTATTTGCATATAATCTACTCACCGCCCAAGCAAAGACCCTGACGATTCGCCAGCAGAGCGCCCACCGTGTCCTGTTGTGTGACGCTGCAAATATTGAAGTGTGTTTTTAGTACGTTATTTGTATTATGTGGATGGCATACATATCGCTCAAGACTTTCTCCAGTTGGGTCTCCATGGGCTACACTAGTTCACGTTATTGGCGAAAAAAAAACAAAGCAAAAATCAAAACAATGATAATTAGAGATGTTTACTAATGATATTTTAATATATCGATATATATATTTGTAGTGATGGTAATTCTACTTATCGATGAGCAGTGTCGGTATTTTTGTGCGATAGGCGTAATTTGCAAAAATACCAAAGAAACCACTGTAAATACCAAAACCAGTGTGGACTCACTAAAAAGTCTATTGAGGGCGCCACAATTGAGTTTATTCAAAATTTAATTTTTGTATGTGGCTATTATTGTTTATTCATATTATTGCGGATAAAAATACTCTTAATCAAATGAAGTGGTACGCCAGCCTGGATTAAACAAAACACTTTTCAAACGACAATTAAAACTAATTACCTTTTGTTTATTATAATTTTTCCGTCTCATACGCAGCCTCGGAAGTGAAAGTGCAAAAAGTTGCGGCGCGGCGTTGCGTTTGCTATTGTTGAATTTTGGAATTACTCTTTTGGGTCGGTCGTGTCTTTGAGAATCCGATCTCCGCCAATTTAACATTTAAATATAATAAAATAATCTATAACATGTTGTGGAATCGAGCCGAACCGAATCGAATCGAACATAACGCGCAAAAGTCGCTCCAAAAAAATAGAATGGATTTCTAGGTGTATGTATTATGTACTAATCAGGCAGGCATGGCGGGACCTACACGATCTCGTACTTCTCCACAAACAATATGGATTCGCTCGAATACTTGACCGACGCCTCGCTGTCCACCTGAATGACGTCCTGGGCAATCACGCCGGCGTACGTCGTCTTCGAGACGAATGATACTTGCAAGGGGAAGAAATCGCCCGGAATGGATGCGTTGCAGCTGAACTCCATCGAGCCGGACTTGTTGGCGGCATCGATTATGGGAATGTGCCACTGCAGCACATGCTTGCGTGCATCGTAGTTGTAGGTGCCATCGTATTCGGCCACCGTCGGCTGTACGTTCATCCTGCGGGGGAAGTCAGAAATTAGAATTATACTCTGTCGACTGGATGTTTCACGGCGGCTACTTACGGCAAGGGTATAACAATGGCCACATCCTGTAGCTCCAGATGCTGCGCCTCCAGTTCGTATTCAATGTTAACGTCGCATCCGCCCTCACCATTGTCAGACGGCCAGCAGTTGACTGTGAATGAAATCATGGATATGAGCGAGATAGCGGTAGGGTGGGTGGCTGTCAATGGGCCAACACTTACTGGTCAGTGGAATGGCAGTCTCATCCTGTGAGACGAAGCGCCATTTGAGGACACCAACGTCGGTGTTCAGAGGGAATGGCTTGGTCAGATTCTTCAACCCAATCATGCTGCGCGCCTTGAAGAGCTCCTTGTCCACATTCGGATGCGTCTGCAGCTGCAGGCCCTGTGCATGACTGGGGGACAGCTTCAGCAAGATGCGGCCGCATGCCTCGTCCGTAATGCGAAGAGTCAACAAGCCAGAATTCTCAAACTGCTGCACGCCGCCATCGCGTCCCAGACGCACCACCAGCTTGTCCTCAATCTTCAGATGCACGCTGAAATGAGCACAAACAACTGTAGTGTTGAGGGATCCACATCATCAACAGCAACAGCACTGGCACTGGCACATACCCTTCCTTGTGAATGTCGGCCGACATGGCTGCCTTGGCCGCTGCACTTGCACCAGTCGCTGATCCAGAGCCACTGGCAGTAGTTGCTGGCGCCAGATTGGCTATCTTCTCGCCCTCGCTCTTCAGTTGATCGACGAAGCTGTCGACATCCTTTGACTTTCCACCCAGCTTCAGTGCGTTGCGCGACGATGGCTTTCTGTATGAGATAAGGATCATGACCGGTATTATTCGAGATGCGGCGGACAGAAAGAAATCTCCACTTACACTGCCGCCTTGCTCGAAATGGGTTTACTGTCCAACTCAATGGAGGGCGCATGTACGCTGCTCGACACGCTACTGACACCGCTGCTGCCGAAGCTGTCGGAGCTGAAGCCACCACTGCGCCCACTGAGACCGCCCATCGATGGGCCGCCACGCTTGCTGGCCTCCATGCGCTGACGTTGCAGCTCCTTGGCCTTTTCGCGCATCTTCTGGCGTGCCTCCCGCTCCTGTGTCTGGCGCACCGCCTGGTAGACCTTCTCCTCGTGCGAGTCCATTTCAACAAATGTCTTGATCTGGGCTAGATTGACACTCTCCCTGTAGCCGAGCGCCACAATCTCATCGAAGGCGAAAATCAAGTTAAAGGCATTCTCCACAATCTCCTTCTCGTCCAGCGAGTGGCTGTACTCCGGTATCTGCAATAATCGCGTAATTTCGTTCATTTCCCATCTCGTTTTCATTCAGGTAGACCACTCACCACTTTGGAGAAGAGACGCAGCGTTTCCAAGTCCTCCAAGATGTTGCTGGCCTTTGTGGTTATGAGCAGCATGTAGAGCTTCTCCATCGGCTGGTAGACATAGCGCACAGAGTCCGTTTCCACGTAGGTGTGCTGCTTGCCAGACGTCATCAGTTTGGGAAAGGCGGCCAGCAGACCCTCGATGCGTGCCTTCGTCATCTCCACGAACTGACGTGACAGTATGACTGCATGCATGTGTGTGTGTGTGAGTGTGTGGGGGTGAGTTAGAAAAGTGCAGTGCATTAGATGGATATTAAGTTTTCTGGACCACTCCACTCCACTTACCTTTGCCATTCTTTGTGCAAACTGCCGCAGCAATGAGTACCTGTGGTGGGAGGAATATCGGGAAGATTAGCGACGAAAATCGCCGACGTATACGTATTAGTCGGTGTGCGTGCGTTAGTGTGTGATGGTTCGTTCGTTTCGCTTACCATTTTAGTAGCGCAGCAATTGAAACAGTCGGCCACAGAACAGAAGAACCTTTTAAGTGCCTGGCAAAAGTCTGGCAGAGTAAACTACAATTAATTTGATTTACGAGACGATGAAAACTATTTGTTTTCAATCAATCCGCGTAGCTGACGTGTTCGGGGATGTTAATATATTGGTATTTCAATATATCGATATATCGTTTTTGATGATAATATATTTGCAGGTGATATATATTTTTGGAAACAAAAATATAGACATATATGTGGGGATATACCATCGACGTAACTACTTTTCCGATTTCGAAGTTCACACCATTTTTCTTTTGTCTCATTTCGTTGGATCGGATGCACCCGAGACTTTTAATTCTACTTGTCGGATGTCCATACAAAATATCGGTATTTTTGTGCGATAGGCAAAACGAAATCGACGGTAACACATCTGTATATTCAAATAAGACAGCATCCTGTTTTTTATTGTTTTGAAATCTGAGCCCAAAAACTACGAGTAATGATATTATTAGTATACAGTATTTAGAAGATCATTTAGACACACGCATGTATGCTTATAGACCTTAGATATATTTTGATAATGAATCATTGTTCGGTATAAACAGAGATGGTGTAAGCGTCGGTTGCATATGAAAACTTTGTTTCCTTTTACAATTGTCTTAATATGATATATATATACATTCAAAACATATATGTATGTATGTCTAGTCTCCTGCTAGATTAGGTTAAGGAACTAATCATCTAATGTCAGTGTGGCGATTGACGCCACATTCTCTTTATCCTTTTTATGCTCTTCGCCCTTCTGCTTGGCATATGCCGCACTCAAAAGACTCATGACCGCCTTATGTGGTACATTGGCCTGCTTGTACTTCTTAAAATTATCTTTAACAAACTTAGCAAAGCCCTTGGCCTCGCCCGCCGGCTTCGACACGGTATTGCCAAACTTGTCCTTTTTGTTCAGCAGCAGAACGACGGGGCCGCGACATATACGACAGCGGAGATTCTCCACTTTGCGAGATCTGGAGTGAGAGTGCGAGCTGCAAGAGGCGTGAAGAGGGAAGGGAGTGTGGGGTTAGAGCGACAACAACCAGAGAATAAACCACAAAAAACTTACTCAAGATTGCAGCTCTCACATTTGTACGTGTACTTATAATCAATGCTGTAGCTGTGGCAGACAGTGATGGCGGGCAGCTCTGGATACTTTTTGTTGGCGCGAAGGGCCCAGTTCTTCCACACACGGCCGTGTCCACCCTCATTGTTGAACACCCAGGTGGCGGCATGGCAAAGCTCGTGGATGAGCGTACATCGGAGTCTGTCAGCTGTGGTCAGCACCTTTACGCTAAGCTCGATCGTGCTGATGCGTTTGGCGAGTTTTACACTAGAAGAGGAAACGAAATAAACGATTAGAGGAAGCTCGTGGATTATGTGTGGTGGGACACGAACTTTCTCTTATTCAGGCATCGTCCAGCCGTGTTGCGCAGCCGCTTCGACCATGTGATTGGCACGTCCAGCTCATTGTTGAAGACGTCCGCATTGAACATCTTATAGAGTCGCTCGGCCAGCTGTTCCTTGTTCTTGGCAAAGTTCTCCCGATAGAAGAGGGCCTCCTTGTCGCTGCACTCGCGGCTGACCTCTCCCTCCAACGATTTTAGGAAACTGCATTTGCCCTCGATCCTCTTTGGTTGCTCTTTCATTTTTCTGGCGATCGCTTTCGGGGGTGCGGTTTGTGGTGCCAACAGCTTCAGAATGGGGCTGGCCTTGGGCGTTACTTGGGTGTTCTTCCCAATTCCCATGTCCTTCTTCACCTCTTGCAGGCGCTTGTAGACGGGCGTGCCCGGTAGATAGTCGTTCTCCAGTTCCTCCAGCATATCCAGTTCACGTGCTCTACTCACAATCGCTTCCGCCTCCTTTTCGTCCTCGTAGCCAATGTTTGGCTTGAACAGCCGTCGTCGTGTTGTGGCTTGGACTGTGGATGTTGCGGTGGCGGTTTCGGTTCGGTTCCGGTTGCGGATTCGATGTCAGCGGTTGCTTCTATTGGCGTTGCAGGGAGCCTGGCTTTCGTACCAGCGCGGCAAGAACGGAGAATATCGTCAAGGCGTCGATGATTTTTGGGAGCTGTTGAAAGTTAAATGACACAATTTGATTTGACACTGACAGGTTTTAAATCTAATCGCAATGAACTTACATTGAGTATCGTCATCTTCGTCGGGGTTGCTGATTACCTCCACCTCGGCCTTCGTTAAATCCAAATAGGTAATATCGCCCATTCCATTGTTTTCGGCATCGCTGCTACTTTCGCTGCCGCTGAAGGTTGCATCCGCATCCTCGTCGTCGGAGGCATCTGTCCCGCTGTCAGAGTCAATTAAGGCACGCCAGCGATCCTCATCCACATGATTGGTGCGTGGCTGTGGGCGCTGTGGTGTCTTCGGACGCTGTGGCGTCTTCGGACGTTGTGGCCGGGCGGCACGGGGACGTCTTTCAGTTTGAACGGCACGCTGCGGCAAGCGAGTGGAGTTCAATGGGGTCGCATTGGAGTGCAGCGTCCGCTTAACTACATGCAACACACAATATAGACATTACGCTGCAAGTTAAGACTGATTTCATCTGCACTTACATTGGCTAAAATCAGCAAGGACACTCTCATTTGGCTGCTGCACACGTGGTGCAGGGCGCTCCTTCTTTTTCTCAATGGTTTTGGCGGCTGTGGGAAAATGAATGTTCCTCGGCTTCAGGGGGGCCGTCTTGCCGCCGCTGCCACTGGAACGCTTCAGGGTGCGTATCACATCGGGAGTCTGCCAGGATTTTCCGTATAGCTGATTCAAGAGCTTCTCGGCCTGTGTAAGGAACTGCTCGTCCTCGGAAGCATCGTTAGTTGATAGCAAAGATTTTTGATGCTGATCCTCCCGCTGTTGTTGCTGCTCCTGATGAACTTCTGCGGCGCCTGGCAAGGATTTGGTGGGCCTTGGAGATGTACAATGTTCGTATTCGTCATCGTCATCATCTTCCTCGTCGTCCCCTGAGCTCGATTCCACGGCTGGTATATGTATTTTTATGTTTATCTTGGCCGAGATATTGATGCTGCTCACTTGAATGGCCGGTGCCTCTTCGCCAGACGATGTGGAGGACGAGGAGGAGCTTGGTCTGGGCGGCGTTGTTTCGCCCTCGCTGCATGTCTCTGGGATCTCGATCGATTCATCGGGAATCGGTTCGTCTTCGTTGAGCGTCGAGTCCTGGCGGCCGGATGCGTCCGACACATCTCGGGAGCAAAGAGTGTTCACTTCGGTGTCGTCATCCGCCAGCCGCCTGCTGCTGTCCAAGCATGCCGCATCCTCTGAGCTGAGAGTGTTCACCTCTGTGTCGTTATCCGCCAGCCTCTTGCTGCTGTCCAGGCCGGCCAAGTCCCCAGAGGAAAAGGTGGCCACTTCTGTTTCGTTTTGCGCCAGCCGCTTGCTGCTGTCTATCGGTCTGGATGGCATCCAGTCCTCGTCGGTTGTGGCCATGGACTCTGTGTCAGCATCGGCCAGCCGGGATAGCCGCTTGGCGGAGGACAGGGGCGATGGTGTCATCGGAAACCCGTTATCCCCCATCCCGCGACGTTCGATTGAGACGTCGCGCAGAAAGGCCTCAATGCGCTGCACCTGGTCGTTGGTCAAAATGGGTACTGGGATGGGCTCCTTTCCTGGGTCAGTGGCCGGCATACGATCACTCACGGCCATGCTCTCGGGTGGTGGGGCCTCGTCATCGCTGGAGTCTGATATTGTAATGCAAGAGGCATCACTGTCGTCATCGTCATCGTCACCGTCTGCGCCCTCCTCTGTCGTAGATGAGATGCAAATGGATATCTCCGGATAGGGCAGCTTGGGCTCCATTGTCAAGTTGGTGACCTGTGTGGCTAGAGCCTCCACATCCACCGGTGTCTGACTGCGGCGGGGCTGAGTGCAGCCATCGCCACTCAACTGCAGAGCATCCATATATTCGGAGCCTTCAATGTCGAAGTGCGCCTCCTCGGCGTCATCTTTGGGAGTTTGTCTCTGTCCCATGGCAATGGGATCGCTGCTGGAGCTGCTGAGCAGCAGGGGATTCTCACTTACTACAATTTCTTCAGGCTTGGGGTCTGATTCCTTGGCGTCCTGCCCTGGCGGTTGCTTTTTCTTGTGGGAGGATAGCGTCAGTTTAGCGAATTTTTTGTTGAAGGGCACATTTACTTTGCTGGGGTCGACCGTACTGAACAGCTTGTACTTATGATCCGCCATTTTCTTGGCGTCGTTCGATTTAACTGTAAATTTCGGCAGAATATGCACAAAATGCAATCGCCAATTACAGCAAAATACAAATACAAATCCAGTCCGCGTCTCTCTCAGAGTTGATTTTTTGCTATCGACAACTGATATAATTTCTATCGGTTAGAGTGATGCCAGATGCCATTCAGCCGGCAACTACGATGCTATCCAACACTTGCCAGAAACATAAACAAATGTCTCTGGTTCCTGCGTTTAATTGCAATAGATAGGTGTTTAAACATAAATTTATACCATGGCTGGTGTCTCCTCGGCCCGCGAGTCACTGTCGCACGCCTTGAACAATCGCTTTCTACCCAATCTCGAGTACTTGCTGCAAGGATCCATCCTGGACTCGGCTGTCGAACATCTAATGCACAGGTAATGCACTGAAGAGAGTACAAAAGCCAAATTGAATGTATATTTTGTTGACATATTTGAACTATAAACAGATTAAAAGGCCTTTGCGACAATGTGGACACATCGCCGGAGACCTTCCATGACCTGGAGGTGTGCATGAGTCTGCGGCAACCCAACTCCAATCAGCCGCTCTTGCTTCGTGTGCGTCGCGCCTTGGGCCGGGATGCTCCCTTCCAGATGCGCTATCTCGGCCAGCCAGAGGTGGACCAGCGTCGACCCACATTGGTGCGCAGTTGCATGGACTGCGCCTGCACAAACGGAATTCTGGAGTTCCTAACCGAAATGGGATTTCGCCTGGAGTTCGAATACATTGCCAAGGGATACATGTTTCGAAAGGGCCGCATGAAGATCACCGTCTCGAAGCTCATCAAAATCATACCCGGCAAGCAACAGGACATGGCCAATGAGCCAATCTCACAGAGCTACATTGTGGAGCTCTCTGTGGTGGCGCCCACGGGGCAGGAGAATGTCGGCGAAGAGATGCGTGTGTTTGCCGAGCAACTAAAGCCGCTGGTGCAGCTCGAGAAGATTGACTACAAGCGTCTGGGGTCCATGCCCTAAACAAATACTATATAATTTCTTTTTTTTAACACTTATTTTATTGCTTACGGATTGATCCATATATCCATATATAAGACAACAATTGGATTTCTAATTCATCAAAACAGAACATAAATTCCGACTCTCCGAGATGCCGGTGGAAATGTAAACGAAGACGTATGTACGTCCGAAAATTTTGGAATACATACAAAAAAAAAAGGATGGAATGGACTTGCAGTCCCCATGTTCGTTAGTCCTTGAAGGCTTCGTTGAGGGCCGCCAAGTTGCGATCGCTTACATGACCCTGCAGGTCGCTGCGGCCCATTAGCGAGATGACCATCTTGACAGTGCTCCAAATCGATTCGGACATCTGGTTCTGGCCACTGCTGGTGGCCGCCATAGCCGCATTGGGCAGCTCCCGGGCGGCATTCGTGTGGGCCTGCATGGTGAGGGCCGTCAGCAGGTGCTCCACAGCCTCCTTGTAGGCCTTGAGGTTCATGCAGCAAACACCGACGTTGTAGCGGACCCGGATGAAGCCCGGCTGCAGTTGCAGGGCACGTTGATATGCCTCAACGGCCTCCACGGAGCGCGAGCCGTTGGCCAGGCTGGCGCCCAGGCGGTTCCATGTCTTGGCATTCTGGGGATCCTTTTGCAGAGCGGATTGATAGCAGTCAACGGCCTTGTCGAATTCACCCGAGAGATTGTAGAGCACGCCCAAGGCCTCCTGCACATCAGCATCGACCTCGGCCGGATGGAGGCGAACTGCTTCCAGGTAGATCTGCTGGAGATCTCGCAGTTTACTGGCTCCAATCAGGGACGACGCCAGCGAGGTGCCCTCGAACTGCAGCTCCGGATGGGCGGCTATCAGGTGCTGGTACCTGGGATTCGCCGCCAGCCAGTTGGAGAGCATTTTCACAGCATTATTTTGCAATCCCTCGTTGGTGTAGCACACAGCCAGGGCCATAAGCACCTCCCGGTTCTCCGGCTGAAGGTCCAGTGCACGTTTTAGGGCAGAAATGCTCTGTGGATCCATTTCATTTTCGGCCTGTGAGGTGCCCAGCAGCTGCCAGATCTCGGCGCGTTCTGGCTCCTTTTTGGCGGCCACCTCAAAGCAGAGAACAGCACTGGGAATGTCACCCTTGGTGAGGTACTCTTTGCCTTTTTCGAACGCATTCTCCAGCTCGGACATGGGATTTTCTTCGGCAAACTCGTACTCCTTGTAGGCATCGAGATTCTCGTTGTATTCCGAGAGCCATGGATGCTCGTTCTCCTCGGCCAGCTTCTGCCATTCGTCCTGCAGACGCTGCCAGAACTTCTCGTTAAAATTGGACGCTGTCTGTTCCTTCTGTTCAGTGCTGCGTTGGTAGTCGGTGATCCAGTCCGCCACGGACTCCCCCTGGGCGGCCCTGGGCAGGTTGTCTGTGATTATGGTCTCCATGGCAGAGTCAAAGAAGGGGTCTTGCTGTGGCGGAGCAGCTGTGATGGCCATGTACGGCTGGCGTGCCATGAAGTTTTGGCTGGTGATCAATGGCTCGTCAAAGAACTCCTGCGCATGCATCATCTCCTGTTGCTGTGGGTGCATGTGAATCATCTGCTTGGGCAGTGGAGGGGCAAGGCCGCGAGTGAAATCCTGGCTCCATTGATCGGCCTGATGTTGTTGCTGCTGCGGCAGCCCATTAATGTTTATGTCCCGCATCTCCTGCAGCAGCGTGTCCATTTGAAAGGATTGCGGAGGGGCAGCCACCTGGCCGAGAAACTCATTGATGAGCTGCTCATCGGGACGGGTGCCCCGCTCGAACTGCCTTTGGACAAAGCCCTCGTCTTTGTGGGCCACATCGCGGGTGAATTGGCCGCCCAGCTGCATCAGTGGATTGACTCCACCGCAATCGCCTTCGACCAGTGGGCGCAACGACATCTTGGCTCTTTCTTGAGGATATCGGGGATGATGCTACGTAACTGTGAATAGCCCTCGTCTAAGATAAGCACAAAGGAGGAGGCCGGGGCCGCTGCAAAAGCAAAAGTCCAAATGTCCACAAAAGATTGTTAAGCAAGCAGCAGGTGTACGGTGCGTTTACCAATACTGAATACTGCCACTGATTCACTTTGCAGCACTGATCAAAATGTTTACCCAAATTGAAATTGAACAAAACAAAGACTTTAGTGTCTCTATTATATAGACATTGGTATTTTGGCTGCTTAAAAATCCTTTGAGACACAATTAACTATCATCATATGATGTTTTCCATAATATAATGTTCGATATTTTAAATCTCTGACAAGTCTGGCATCTCTAAATATTGCGAATAATCAGGAATCAGCCGGGATATTTGGATTGATTGTTCTGTTTGAGTCCTTGCAAGCCCAGCATGGACTATGATCTATTCCAGTCGGATGACGATGAAGACATACTCACGGCCTTCAATGAGGCAACACAGAGACTACAACAGGAGACCCCCAGCCACCAAATAGAGTTGGACAACCAGGATGGCGAAGACGATGAGGAGGATGATGATGGCCTAGACATCTTGCCCGAGTTCAACTGCACCGGTCGCGATACTCCAAAGGCTAACAGCTTCCCAAGGGCAGGATTTGTTCACAATGGCTTCACGCAGCACCATCCCCCATACAGCAAATGGGACCAAATTTGCACGGAATTCAACAAGGAACAGCTGCAGGTTAACGCAGTGACACATTACCTCTACACTGAGGCTTGGTGAGTGACGTGACACCAACCAGAATCGGAGATTATCTAGCAGCAGTTTTATCTAGCAAGAATGTCCAGAAGCTTTTTGCCGCCGTGGCCGGACAGCAACAGCTACAGGCCCCCACAACTTTGAGCAACTCAATTTGGTATAGAACACGACAGCAGGTGACCCAGTTTTACCATTTGATATTGCGCATACTCGATGAAAACATCTGCAACGAAGCACCCCGATTTCTGGAGGATCTGCGCCACCTGCTCAACAATCTACTGGATGCAGAGGCCTGGAAGGTTCTGTACTTTGCGGAGCACAGCAAGGGAAACGAGTGCCAGGCGCCGGCCTATCATCTGTATCACGGTGTTCTAGAGTGGCGTTTTCTCGACCTAATCCTGCTCAACGAGTGCCATGGGGCGACGGAGGCGGTGCTGTTGAGCCAGCTGGAGCATACGCTGGACGATTTGGTGCTGTGTGCCAGCCATCACTACCGCAGCAAGCATCGACCCGAGCTCATTCACACATCCGCGTTCATGTGTCGCTGCACCAAGGAGCTCTGGCTGCTGCTCGTCGAGCTGGCGCCCAAGTGGCTGCTCCAGAGTCACCTGGACATTTGGGATCTTTTCCACAAGGCCATGCAGAGCCACAAAGCGGTCTATTTCCAAGGTATGAATTACCTCGAATCCTCCATCCGCACTTGTCCATCTAATCCAGAAGGCTTCCCTTTACCCAAGCCGACAGCAATGCCGTTTCATTGGCCTTCCACGAGTTCTACGCATGGCTGAGGCTCAGCCTCGCCCGCCTCTGCGACTACACGGACCATGAGGAGGAGTATAAACGGCACCTTGGTGCGGGCACCCCTGGAAGTACCTCTGAAAACTTTCAGACTGCCAGCCTGCTGAAGCAATTCCTCTCCAGCCAGCCGGATGAACAGCAGCGACGTGTCTATCTGTGTCTGCTGGCCCCACTCGAACTGCAGCGGGGACGACCCGACCCAGATGTGCTCTGTCAGCTGTGGGAGTACCTGCATCGCTCGCTCAACTGCAACTTCAATGCGGGCACAGAGCTGGAACAGCTGCCGCTCACCTGCCCCAGTGGCTCGGCGTATGTGGAGCGCTACAGCAAGCTGCTGTCCAGGGATCAGCTGGAGGATCTCAATCTCAGCAGCTTCACCATGTACGCCTGGATGCTGGGTCGGACCTTGAAGCTGCTGCCAGCCCAGCAGGGAAAGGGCAACCAGCGACAGAAGCTGCTCGGACGGATCTTCAGCAAGTTCAGTGCAGCCAAGTTGCTGGCTCTGAATGAGCCGGGCATACACCATGTGATAGAGCTGTTCCTCTGCCTGCTACTCTCCCACGAGGACCTCTCCGAGCTGGCGCCCAAGCTCAGGGAGATGCTGCTGTGTCTCGCCTATAGAGAAATTACCACCGGTCCGGCGCATTTTAGTGGCCAAGGGACACATGGCCCTGCTGCTGCTGCATGCGCGGCATCGTCTCTCCATGGATGACTATGTGGCGAAGCTGCTCGGCCAACTGGCAGCCATCCGGAACGACGTGGAAGTGGCTGCCATATACGTGGGTACACTTCAGGCCATTTTCGACCTGGCCGATGACTTTGCCCGCGGCGAGCAGCTGCTCCTGGGCCCCTGGCTGACGAACTATGTCGAAAAGTGTGGCCAGGCCTCGCAGGATCGCGTCTGGCAGGCTCTGCACTCGCTCATCCAGCGGCTAGGCGAACCGAGAGTCGTCTCCGGCAATGCCAGTGGAATGAAGGAGGCGCTCCAGCAACAAATTCTGCCCCTGCTGCGGACGCAGTACGTCAGTGGGCACAGCTCTTGGCTGCCGAGGCTGGCGGCGGAGTTCGTGGGCCTGGACAAGGATCGGGAGAAGCTTATGGTGAGTTTTTTGCAGGGACCCGAACCTGCCAACATGGCTGCCTCGGCCCAACTCATCGTTCACCTGCTGGAAGAGGGAAGAGGCCAGAGCAGCCAGGTGCCGGCGGCACCGTCGAGTGCCACCATCCTGCAGGTGTGGGTCAAATCTCTGGTGCTGCTCACCGCCCAGCACGAGTCCGTGGCGGCGCTTACCGCCCATGTGGTGCAGCTGGAGGAGTTTCAGCAGCTGGCCATAGATCCCACCTCTTTGGCGGGTCGCGAGCCGCTCTGCGCTTTTTTCGGTGCTCTCGGGCGACGGGCCCAGCAAGAGGATGCGGCCGCCAATGCCCGCATCCGCATGCAGCTGAGCCACAGGCTGCACGCCTACGTGAACCACTTTGAGATGTGGCTACCGCCGGACCGGCTACGCTCTGAGCTCGGCTCCCGGTTCTACAGCTTCCTTGCCATCGTCATCTACAACTGTCCGAGCCTCGCGTATGTGCGCTCGAAGCCCAGCTGCTTCTTCCACCTGGCCATGGTGCGGTTCCTGCTGACCACACAGCTACAGGCCGGCGTGCCGCCCGAGGGTCGCCTGCCCCAAATGGTGCACAAGATCTTCCCCGTGCTGCTGCAGGGTATCGGTCGGCTGCCCTACCGCACGGACGCTTATCTGGGCAAAACGCTGGAGCAGCTCATCCTCCACTGGACGCCGCACTTCAACTTCTCCCCCAACGCCAAGCTGGTGGCGCGTCCCTACACGACGCTCCTCCAGGCCGATGCCAGGGACGATGGTGAACTGGCACAGTTTGTGCTCCAGCAGCTGGTGGGCCACTTTCTGGTCGTTCTGCGCCGCAAGGCGGGCAACCACTCGGGCCTCGTGGTCACTTTGCTGCAGCAGCTGGTCGAGGGCATCGCTGCCGATCAGGAACAGCAGCTCCTAATCCTCCTCCGAGCGGTGCACACACCCCTCCTGGAGCACGTCATGTTCGTGGATGAGCTGGAGCACAGTCGGGGCCAGGTGCTGTCTCTCTATCGCATCATAGTCTCACACGAGTGCTTCAGGAGATCGCAGCCAGCCAGGGAGCTGTGCCTGAGCCACCTGCGCTCCCTGGCCGAGAAACACTTGGCCCACTGCACATATTTCTACTTTCAAATGCTCATCAAGCTGTCGGAACTGTCGCCGCAGCTGGCGGCACCGCTGCTGCCCTTCGTGCGGGAGCAGGCCAAGCTGGTCGAGCTGAAGCGCGGAGCTGGCGAGGATGTGGGCATACGCAAGTGCCTGCAGCGACTCGAAAAGGTCCTGGGGGTAGCCGTGTAACCCTTTGCCAATAAACATACCAAGATGAAAATCGCAAGAGTTGGAGGGAAGCTTCTTGGAGGGAAGGCAGTTCGGTTTACTCGGGGGGAAGACTACGGGCGCTACAGCGAATCTAAACAACATTTTTGGCCGCGCGGGGTATCCGATTGGTCAGATGCTTGACGGGCATGAAGCCGGTGTCGCCCAGGTACTTGATGGACACGTTCCCCGATGGGCTGATGGTCAGCCAGGTAATGGACGCATGATTAATGCTGATCCGCAGCCAGGCCTCGGGCGGGAACTGAAGCGCTCGACACACAAAATAGCGGATCACATTGCCATGGCCCACAATGAGGGTGTAGCTCTCCTTGGCCTGGTCGGGATAGGCACGATAGAAGTACCGGCGGAAGGCGGCCTCGATCCGGGCACCGTCTCTGAAGAACTGCTGCAGTGTCAGTGAGGATCATATAAAATGGAAGTTAATTCAAGACCCACGGACAAGTACTTACCGACGCTTCCGGCTTCCAGTGGCCGACTGGCGGCTGGGGCGGTATCGGGGCACCCTCACGCAGGAAGGCGCAATTCTTCACCTTATTTTTCTCGTAGTCGATCTCATTGAGTATGATATCCGCCGTCTCCTGGGCGCGCACCATTGTCGAGGCAATCACCTTGTCCCACTTGATGCCCAGCTCGTTCAGACGCTGGCCCGTGTATTTGGCCTGTTCCCGCCCACGTTCGGTCAGGTGATGCGTATCGTCTGTGTCCCCCACATCGAGGTACTCGCCATGCCGAATGAGTATTATGTGGCGGGCATGTTTGGGCACAGCTTTCTCCAGTTCACTGTTGTAGCGATTCTGCTCCTGGGACAGATCGTTCTTCACCGGCTTCACCAGGCTCTTGGGGTCGCGCAGGTCCCAATTGGTGTCCCACAGCGCACACGCATCCACCGGCTTCTCGCTCCTCGTCCACGAATTGTGCACCGCAGCCCTTGGCTCGCTCAGTTTTGTGAGGTAGAAGGTCGCCAGACCGGCCCCAGTGCCGCATGCAAAGGCTGTGAATTTCCGCATTATTCCTGATTTAGTTTAACAATGGTGAATGATGATTGAAAATTCTTCGTGATCTTGTTCTTTCTTTGGGTTATCTTCCTTTTTATCCCCCCCCCGCTATCTTTAAACATTAGATAAATATGAGCAATGCGTGGTGGTATTCTGTTACCATCAGGCAACGGTCACATTGCGCGCCAGAGCAAACCAGCCAGCTGTCTGGCAACGCTCGCTAACGGGCACCGTTATTGCAGATAAAATAGAAACAAAATGCGAAATAAAAACTATGGTATAATACTTTTATGCTAAGTGTATTTAAATATATGTATGTATTTTTATGTATATGTACGAGTATGTATTTATTTGTATAATTTACCGCCTTCTCTTTGGTCGTCCGCTAAACAAACTTCTTTATAAATAGTCGGTTTCGGGTCTGGGTCTAGTCTGTCTTCAGTGTTTGTTTTCTCAGCTAATCTCAGCACTAATCGTAAGTTAAACTCTAGGTTAACTAAACTTTAAACTAAACTACTGCACTTTAAAGCTGCGGCTTTAGTAGTTGCGAGTTCCTTTTCAAAACAAAATTCCATAGGGGGGAGGGGTGGGTCGGCTGCCTAGGCGCTATCTCCCGCAGCGCTCACGGGGGTTAGTGTGGGTGTGGATTCGTCCTTGGCTGCCGCAGATGATGTGTCGGCGGGACTGGGGTCTGCTGCCGGCTGATCCGTGCTGACAGTGCGCACAAACACTGCGGACGCCTCAATCACAATTGTGGGCAAGGCGGCTTCTGTTTTTTCGGCCTCGGTGGAAACTGGTATGAGCTCTGCTGCAACAGGAACAGGCTTATCCTCTGGTTGCGGCTGGCTCACGACTTCCACTGTGGCGGGCGCTGCCTGAACGGGGCTCTCCTCTGGCTTGGCAGCCTCCGGCAGCGGCTCAGGATTTGATGGAGCTTCTGTGACTGTCACAGTCGGCGCAGGCTCCGCGATTGATGCTGAAACTTGAGCTGGAGCAGCGCCTGGCTTGACCTCGGCTGTAGCTGAGGCAGCTGGAGCAGGAGCCGGAGCAGCAGCCTGTGGTGGCTTGCTCTCTCCAGCGGCCGCTGGGCTAACCGACGGCGACGGTGATTTCGCTTTTGCTTTCGACTTGACCGCCGGCGACGGTGTTCGCGCCTTCAGATGCTGCTCGTGGGCGCTGCGATCCAGCAGCACCGATGTGGACTGAGGAGGGGCCGGACTCGCCGCGCGCTTGATCTCCTCGATCTTGGCCTCCATCTCGCTGCGAATCTCCCTGATGGGCTTCAGCAGGAATATGGGCACGTTGTCGTCGCGGCGCTGGTACAACATCTCGCCCTCGAACTCCACCAACTTGTGCTTGCGGGCACGCAACAATATGCCCACCACCTTGTCCGAGATGTAGTTGTAGATCTAGAGTAGGGAGTAGATAGGTAGAGAGAGGGGTTGGGAGTGGGGTGGGGGGTTCAGCAAGTGAATGTCGAAGGTGGGTAGGTTGGTGCTTACATTGAACAACTCGCCGAAGGGAATCACTCGCATGCCTTGCTCATCCTTGACGTCGTAGCCCTCCGTGTTGATGATCTGGCATAGCTCCAGCATTTCCTTCATCACGTGCATGTTGGCCTTCTGGCCGCGTGCCTCTGTCAGACTGCCGGCCAGCGGTTTGCCATACTGGTCCTTAGAGAAGGTTGGCTTCGGCGACGAGGCGCGTCCATCCTGCGAGAAGGGATTCAGTAACTGCGACTGCTTGTGTTGCGTCGCCTGATTGTTGAACATGGCCACTTTGGAGGAGAGCGGCGAGTCCTGCAAAAAGTCACACACAGAGATCGTGAGTAAAGTTAATTGAGTTCTTTCCACCTTTCCACTTCTAAAGGGAAGCCAAACAGGTTTATCCGCCTCACCGTCCCGCCGCTCTTTTTGGTTCAAGCAGCCGGCGCTGCCAGACATTTGCACTTAGCCTGTCATTTGGCGGGCAATTAGTGCTTTTCAAAAACTACACTTAAGCTGTTGCTGGCTTTAAATTAATTAGCCGCAATCAAGAAACATACGTTCTGTGTAATTTTTCATCCAAAAAGCGAAGAATGCCAGCTAGCAAATGGCACGAAAGGAATGCGCAAATGTCGTTTTCATAAATAAAAAGGCACTGGTTCGGTCAGTGGCGGGGCGGGGGCGGGTGAGCATGGCAAGGCATCTCTTTTAATGAAAACTTAAATATTTACAGAGTATATAAATAAATATATTGGTATGTATGCATGTATGTACGTGTGTATATATAGCACACAAAGCAATATAAAAGCCAAGAGAAATTCACAAAGATTGAGTAAAGAAAACAGGAATGACCTTCACGGGCCATTTTTGCCACTAACCGATGACCACGGATCACTCACTAGCCACCACCACTCAGTCAACACCACACACACCTCCACACATCTCACTATGTTTATTCATTGGATTATTATTTATGGCCAGCGGATATATTTTACGAGTAGAATGGCCCGGCCCGGCCCGGCCCGGCCCGCAGTTTTGACATTTGACAGAGAGGAGGAGTCCATGATTGAGTTGCCCATCAATGAATGCGACATATCTGGCGCCTCTGATGTAGACTTTTGATATGATACGGCAAGCGCTTTATATAATTTGTTTTGGCAACAACACGACGCCCCAATGACGCTCACAATTTGTCTCTTTGATCAATATCCAAACAAAATTCTTCAATCAATGCGCTCAACGGCGTTTTTGTCAACCTACCAAGCCCCCCCCACCCCCACCCCGCCTACACCAAGGGGCATTTTCATTCATACTCAAATCGAGATACTCAAACCGATACACAAATAAATTCAGCGATGAATGAAATGCTGCAAGATTCTGGCGGCAGCTGGCGATTCGATTTGAATCGCAGTTGATTGCTCGTATGCCATTATGCCGGATATGAAACATGGGTGAAAGTCTTGGGCAAAACAAAAATGCATAAATTTGTGTATGGAAATTTTGGATTTTTCACCGCAAATGTTGGGAAAACATTGTGGGAAAACCACATCCATTCGCACGTGAATCAAGGCAAGACAAGGCAACGCGCGCTTGGGGGCGAGTCGAGTGATAAAGATGAAATTTATGTTATAAACAGGGCCCCCAACAAGATTGGGAATGCAATTGGTAATTCGGTGCAGGCAATGAACCCTCCCTCCCTCCCTCGCTCCCACCCGCTCTCTCAGCGGGCAGTAAACACTGGGGAAATCTATTCAAAACAACAACAAAGAGAGTGAGAGTTGGGAAAGACCATGAGATTGTTGTATTGTTTTAAGATCTAAGGGAACGGAATGAATGTATGTTTGTTTCTCATTCGTTGCCTAGATTGCCTGGATTGCACACTGGAATGCGAATGCTTACCGAATGGAATGCCCAATGCCCCAAAAATCTATTCCCAACATATTTTTTAGAGTGGATAATACAGAATCAAATATGTCATGGATCTCTATCAAAATAGGAAGATACTCGTGTGTAGATATGTAGGCATGTAGACATACATACATACATACATACATACATGGGATATTTGTATATAATTTTGGCTACGAGTCGCTGTTATGTCCGCCCATTGGATTGCCTGGGATGGGTGGGATGGGATGGGATCTATTTGTCGGCGCCGTTGTCACTCTTGAAAAGTCTGCGCATTTCTATAGCAGATATGTACATATGCATACATATGTATGTATATGTATGTAGAATATACAGACACTCGGATATAGCCACTACTATATCCCATGCATATTCAGCATTGCTATTTCAACCCGAGCGATGGTCATTGCCAAGAAATTTTCCGTGTTTTGATGTTCTTTTTGTTGTTGTTGTTGTTTTTGCCTTTTTTTGTTTTTTTTTTTTGTTTTTGCTGTGCGAAAATTTGTTCCTTTGTCGTTTCGTTAGCACCACCCCTATATATACTGTAATATCTGCTAAAATACTATATATGTATATATATCTATACATATATATATATGTATATACGTATATACATCTTACATATTTTGGCAATTCATGTGGCGACAAATTAAAACAAATACAGCAACAAAAACAAGACAATTGTTGCCTCTTGCTTTGTTTTGTATTTTTTTTTGAGTTTGAATTTAAATTCTTTAAATCGTTTTTTTCTTTTCGAATTTTAATGTTAGTGTTGGATACTGTCCAGCCCCAAAAAACATTTCATCCGGTGAAAACCAAAATCGCATTTCATTGACATTTATTCTAGCCTAGCTATTTGTATTATAATTTTGTTGTTTTTTTTTGTTTTTATTTTTTTTTTGCTTTAACTTTACTTTACGCATTTATTGTGGTTGTTTTTTGTGCGCATAAATTATTTTTCGGATATTTGTCGCACGAGATTTTTTATTTGGGTATTGAAAAAAATAAAACCTTAAGGGAAAAACAATATAAAACACACATTTTTGGTTTGGTTGGTTTTCTTTTTATAGTTTTTTGTGTGGGGGACATTCCAAAGATGCCATGCCAGAACCTGCCGCGTTTCCTGCCCCTCCTGCCTCGTCGTTGCAACCCCTTTCGCCCAGTACTGTCCAGGAATTTATGTAGTCTAAGAAAGTTGTACCCCCAAAGTTCTGCCAGAATTTGCACAAGATTTTTGGTTTGAACTTTAAGGAGCAGGACCTTTTTGCGTTTTTGCGTTGAGTTTTGTGGGGGATTCGAATGTACTTACCACTACGAAGCGCAGGGCGCCCAGTTCATGCGATACATCTGCCATGCTGCTGCTGCTGCTGCTGCTGCTGCTGCTGCTGCTGCTGTTGGGCCTGGCCTGACTCTGGCTGGGATCGTGCAGCTTTGTGGGGTAGAAGACTGGGCAAGACTCGTCTGGAAAGTTACTCCCAATGTCCGCTTTGCTTTGCTATGCTTTGGCGGCGACAAATGCGACAATTCGCAACACTTTTGCCCGGCTTGCCTGCGTACAAATACAAAAAAAGAGACGAAACAAAGCCGAGACGATCATGATGGGGGAAAGAAAGAAATACCAATTACATTTTGTTCGCAGCCAAGCGTCATGACAATGGGAAATGGAAATGTGTGTTCATTTGAGGGCGGCCCATTGTGTTGTGGCTTCGCTGTGTGGAGTGGTGTGTGGTGGTGTGGCGTGGAGCCCCACAGCATTTTTATTTTTTGCACATTTCTTTTGTGACCCAGACCCAAACACAGACCGGAGACCGGAGACTGAGACCCGAGAGCCAGAGATAGACATACCCACACCCAAGCCAACATTAATGGCAATGCAAAGCAAAGTGAAAAAGAGGTGTGAGTGTTTCTGGACCGATACTTATACCCAATCAGTATATCTATAGTTATATTTTTTATTTTAAAAAAAATTTTACTTTTATTTTTTGCTATTTATACACCATCTACATGTCTAATAACATGTAGATTGTACATGTTCCATTCATATTTACACGAACAGGGGGGCTTCGCCCGCACGGACGGCGGCAGCGTGTGCGAGCGAGAAGGAAAATGAGTTGCGTTGTCGTGTGCGGGGGGGGAGGGAGAACTGAATTAATTCTTATTCTGGCTATAATTATGATCCGATCTGTTCAGATCGCAGTTGGTGATATGGTCTTCTCGATACTGGTTTTATGTACCTTTAAAAAGTGCCTGCCACTTCGTTTTGGTGGGCGGGGGGGGGGGGATTTTGATACACTGTAGGTGGGATATCACATAGTTGGGAACTATTTGGTTGCCTGCCTTTGTCTCTGGATGGGGTCAACAGCAGACAGACGGCAGACGGACAGACAGACATGGCTATATCGACTCGGTATTGATGTGTCATTGTATCTTTATGGGGTCGAACGTTCCCTCGCGTTACACACACCACTTTACCCAACTAATACCCGGTCGGGTATAAAAAAATTACAGAGAAGATGGTAAAAGCGCAAAGGAAATACGAGTATTAACAACAACAAAACCAAAACCATGGCACAAAGCAACGCCGCAATAGCAAAACGCCGTTAGGCCTGAACTGAACTGAACTCTCTTTTGAATGCGCATGCGCGCGACCCCGAAAGATGAACCGGAATTCGTTTTCGTACGACCACCGCATTTCGAAATTCGAAATTCGAATTAACTGGAAATCAACCCGCCCGACTGCCTGGCGCTAAAACTAGAAACCCCGCCAGGCCAGGTGCGAATGGGAAGGGAAGGGAAAAGCGTCCCCCCATGTTCAGGTTTTCGGGGAAATCTCCCGCCGATTCCTTTTATCTATTCACTCACTTGTGTGTTTTATGTTTTTTAATTGGTTTTAGATACCAAGTAGCTTCCTTTTCTGCTGGAATTCTTCGCTCTGTGTGGTGCTTGGTGCTTGGTGCTGCTTGTACGTGGTACTTCCTTTCCTTTGGCTCCTTTGGGTTCCACTCACAATGCAAAATGCAATCTTAAGGTTTCCTTTTTGTTTGTTTTTGTTTTAATTTTTTTTGGGTATATTTTGAACACTTCGTTTCAGCACCCAAACAAAAAAAAGGATTAATTAATAATAACAAGAAAATGTCTTCCGATCGTACAAGTTTGCTGCGAGGCACTGCGTTTCGATATTTGTTGCTCTCTGATTTGATATTTGCTTTGATTTGATTTTGCTGATTTTCTATTTTCGTGATTGTACCACGCCGTTTGGTTGCTGCGACCAAAAGTGAGCGCTGAAAGCGAGCGCTCTTTCTTTTTATAGCCAGGCCGGGACCGGACCCGAACCAGAGGCACACACACACACACACACACACACTCACACAAGAATGGGGGGCTGGGGCTGGGGCAGCAACAGCAGCTGCCTCTTCGTTTTGGTCTTCGTTTTTGCTGCCACTTGCCTCTGGTTGCTTCTTCTTTGTCTGCTGCTTTCCTCGGCCGGCTGTTGTCGCTCTCTTCTCTGTGCATTTTCTTTTAATTTTAGACCAACTTTTTGTTGTTGTCTTTATTCGTGCACAATCAGCTCTCTCAGCGGGGTCAGAGCCAGTACCAGTGCCACAGCCAGAGCCAGAGCCGGGTATTGGGAGTTCAAAACCTGGCCGTGGCAGTGCGTTTCCCAGTGTGAACCTGCCTCTTCTGCCTGGGGTTCAGGTCACTCTTCAATCAACACGACACCACAACACAACAACAGTTTACGCGCTTCGCTGAGCCCACAGCCCAGAGCCCGGCCTGACCGCAGCTCTCGGAAACTCTTCCGAGAACTGCAGAAGAGAACCCAAAGAACACCACTCCGTCCCCCCAGGGGGACTACAGAGAGACAAAGAGAGAGTGTGAGAGAGGCGCACTGATGCATCGCCAGATGATGCGGTATTTGGTATTCGGCTGGGACTTTTGGCTGACATTGCTCTGTTTTGGGGGCAGGGCAGGGAAAAACCGGAAGCAATCGCGCCAGTCGACTATTCCCCCGTACCGTTCCCCCATTCCCATTCACGTTCACGTTCCCGTCCCCCAAAAATAGACCCAACAGACCCATCTAGCGACCGACTCATGCTTGATCAGTGGTTTCTCGTTTCGATTTGGATCTGGGCCCTGGGCCTGCGCCTGGGTAATGATTTGATGTAATACGATGAACGGGGCAGTGCAGTCTTGCAGTCTCCTCGGCCAAGAGTGGAACGAAGCTTTGTGGATTCTGTGGAGCTGCTGGGGGAGCAGCCGTAGCCGCAGCAGCAGCCGCAGGCGCGTGCCCAGCTGCCTTGGCTTGTCAGCTGGGGTCCGCCAATCTTTAATATATATTGTATATGATTCTATTTCGCTAATTAAACAAATATTGCACTGCATTGTTCACAGTGGCAGAGTGCCGCACAGTGGAGGAGGATTTGTGGCATATTGGACATGTGCAACATCTTTGAGCGATGTGCGAGGAGCCCTAATACAGGGCACCAGGCTGGTCCATCAGTTTCTTTTGTGGGGTGGGGTGGGGTGGGGGAGTTTGGGGATGGCCACCACTTCTCAGTTGGTATTGTTGCATGTTTGGCTGACAGCCACAAGTGGACGGTGCACGATGGCGACCGTTGGGTAATTATATGGTATGCCAAGAAGAGTCTTTCCACCACTGCAGCGCATTGGGTTGGGAGACAGGCAGGCAGGCAGGCACGTGTGGGGTGTCTGTCTGTGTGCTCATCCCATCGTGGATCGTGGATCCCACATAAATAATATCAACTCATGAATGAAAATGCGTTCGCCTGAGCAATTTCCTGCTGCACAAAAAGAGTCGCAAAATGCTTAGCATAAATTATATGATAGATTCGAATGGCGTTGAAAGGTCTCTCTGTTGCTGTCTATCGTCTCAATGGATGAACATTAGCATTAGCATCAGTTGATGCTAATGTATATATATATAGAACACGTTTGTATAGTGCATAGGGTGATCTGTATGAACTAGTCTTTAGCAACAGTTCCTTCAGTTAATGGACACATTTTGGCGGTATGTTGCAAGGGATTGCTTATTTTTACATATTGCAAATAGCTGGGGAAAGCCTTTATTGCAATCCATACAATGCCCCCCTGAAGCTGCACATTCGAACAATTAATATATTATTAAATTGTGTATAGAGAACTGAAGTGGCCAGAATAGGCTGCACAGAAAACACATGTACATATTGTGCATCAAAATGTGCAACGACACGTACCCCAATGGTGAGGCACCAGAATCCCAACAACTATTAAGTATAGTGGGGGGGGGGGGGGTTGGATGATGAGTGAATCATCCTGTCTGGGGTGTACCGGGTACAGAACAGAACAGAACGTGACAATCGACCATGAATGTGAATGTTACTCTATAATTATGTACATATGTACATATTGTTGCCGTGTAAAAGTAATCCTCATCGGATATTGCCTAATTTGGAAATATATTTTGTTGTTGTTTTGGCATCTGCTTTCTATCCATCCCGTATACGTAATGGGGAAATTGCGCATACGCAGCGGCTGCTTAAGCTTGTTTTTTTTTATTATTAATATTATGATTATTATTAGTACGGTGGAAGGGGTAGAGAGGTGATTGGGGGGGGGGGGTTTGAAGCTGGTGGCAGGGCATGCATTGTGGCGCAGAAGATGAATGCTGATGGCTCATCCTTAGATCTATATATAAATCAGGGCACATATGTACGTACATACAAAAGTATTTCTATATGTATGGATAAATATATATGTATATATATTCTCTATATTTATATATACATATACTAGAAGCTTGAGAGGCAAGTGCTGTTGACGCAAATTGTACGCTGCTGCCAAATTGTTATTATTTGTTTTTTTTGTTATGATGTCGTGCTCTCCAAACTGAAGATACGAAGGCAGCTGGCGCAGGCAGCTGGCACTGGCACTGGCGCTCGCTACTTGCATTTCCAATCAAAGGATACACTCGTAAGTATGTGTCCTCTCGCTCAATCTATAAAGATCTGCATTCCTGATCGGCCTTCCCTTCTCCTGGGGTAGAACTGTCATTGAACAGTCCGATTGGTTTGGATTGGAACGTAACGGGAGCAATGAATGCAATGAGCTATGGGCTACAAAATAAAATTGGAAATGAAAATGGGAAATGTCAATGAAATTCCAATGCACACAAATCCATTTTAATCGCAATCCGTATACAAACGCGCACACACTCCTCCCACGACGCTATATCCGACAGCGAAAAATTGCCAGCTCTTGTAAGACATGTGTAAATATTTACGTATAGCCCGGAGCAGAGCAAAGCAGAGCAGAGCGGAGCGGATCAGAGGGAGAGACAGAGGCTGAATGGCGGGCGAAATGACGTCGATGTCGACGACCGACGATCGACAACGAACGACGCAAGAATTTTGGAATTTGGCATGGTCGAAGGACGCCTACTTGTTGTTGCCATTGTTGTGGGGGCTGCCACAACGTAGCCAGCGTTCAGTGTGGGGGCGAACGCTTGTACATTGTATATGTGTCTGTGTGTGTGTGTGTTTTGATTCGTATACGGATTTTGGCTCTGGGCTCCGGCATGAATCAGCTGCTGGGACTCGCCCAATGGGAATTTCTGAATGCCACAAGCCAGCAGCAAACTAAAAACTTTTCCGGCACTTGTGTCTCTGTAACTGGAAGCTGGAAGAGTGGACAGTCAGTGGATTTTAATATTGATATATCACAGGAAACTACGTATTTATGAACCTATACCCCCGTGGCATTCATCTGTTACTATTTCACGTTCAAATTTGATGGGCAACCGCTGCTCAAGCTCAAACTAAAGAAATATAAAATAAATAAATAACAAATAATTGCATGTCGTGTGCATGACTCGATTTGCGCCCTAAGGGTCGTTTTTTGTTTTGTGCTTTTATATTTGATTGATTTAGAGCTGTTTCCTAGGCTGCTGTAGAGCCATTTCTCAGGCTGAAATCTGAATAAATAACGAGTTGCTCAATCATCTGATTAATTCTTCAAATATTCATCTACAATTACTGATGTATCGAACCAGTCGTCAGCCACTGCACAGTTGTATTCCCTTTTCTTTTTACGGATTGACCGATGACCGGGTGATACGCTTGGTATCCGTGCACTCAGCTTACACTGCCGGAATCTCGTCAAAGATCGACCAGTCACTATGAGTTGGCTGATAATGCCAGGGGGATGGATGCTCAGTGCAAAAGGTTCACATTTTTGTCGAGACAGAGGGGCGATAATGAAGAAACGAAAACCGTAAAGTACCAGCAGAAATCGATCGAAAAGTGAGTGAACAAACAATCCATTTTGATGGTTTAGCATTTAGGCATTCCACAATTTTCGTGTGTTTACGTTGGGTGGGGTGGGGGATGGGCACCTTAGCTCCTGACCGCAACTCATCCGCACCCTGACGTCACAGACAACAGATGGCCGATCTATTTCGGGCCACTGTTCCAATTTTAGACCATTTCCCCGCCCATTCCCATTCCCATTTCCAAAAACCAACGATAAACAGCAGCGATGAATGGCAGAATGGCACAAAACAAGCAACGATGACGACAATTTGAACTTGAAATGAATTTCGGATTGGGATTGGGATCGGGATTGGGGATTTGAGAATGCTACCCACAAGGCTTATCAGCATAAGCCACACCCGAGCTCAGATCTCTACTCTCTCTCTCTCTCTAGAGCCCACCTTATCTATGGCGGTTCGTTGGCTACAGACAAACAGTTGATCGCGCAGCTTCATCTTGGCTGAACCATGTGGCTTTCTCTGGTGTTGGGTGCCGTGGGCACAGTCCTGGCCCTGGGTCTGTTCAGCTGGCTGCCGCTTTGTCGCCGTAGGCGTCGCATCTGTGAGCTGGCTGAGCTGCTGCCGGGCCCGAAGCCGTGGCCCTTGCTGGGCGATGCCCATCTCTTCTTTGGCCTGAGCCCCGCCGAGGCGTGCCTGATGATGGGCCAGCTGGCCGAGAAGTACGGGGACACGTTCAAGATCCGTCTGGGGCCCTGCTTCAGTGTGATGTTTTTCCATCCCAGCGATGTGGAGCAGGTCCTAAGCAGCACCCAGCTGGTGGACAAGGCGGACGAGTACGATTTTCTTTCGCGTTGGCTCAACGAGGGCCTGCTGGTGAGCACCGGCCGCAAGTGGCACAAGCGACGCAAGATCATCACGCCCGCCTTTCACTTCCGCATCCTCGAGCAGTACGTTGAGATCTTTGACCGGCAGACGCGTCAGTTCGTCTCGAATCTTGAGTTGGCGAGCGGCCACAAGGGCCACAATCGCGTCGACCTGGGCCATGCCGTTCATCTGTGTGCCCTGGATGTCATTTGCGGTGAGTACTGTAGTGCCCCAACCAACTCCCCTGGAGTGGCCCGTCATCCGGCCAGGGGTCTTTCAAAGACACTTGGCCAATGTCCAAATCCAGTCCAGTGGCTCGCCCATAAAAACCTAAAAATTGCTCCACTTCTGATAAGGTATCAGTGGACGCCGGGGTTTATTTGTTTGTTATTACTGGCCCGCTCGCTCGTTCGGTTGGTTAGCCGGTCAACCGATTAGATACTCCACCGCCGATTGGAATCTCCGGTTGGCCGGGGGCGGGGTGCGTTGTCCCCCCCCCCAAGAGCGGATAATCAAAGTTCTCGTTCCTGTCCCATGCCCACACTTAATGTCCACAACAGATTGGGGGCGATTAGTAGTTATTTCGCTGCCGCCGTGTCGAGGAGGAGTACAAAATGTTTCTGTTTTTGGGTGCATTTCTGGCCAGCGGCCTATTTGTGGCCCTACTGGTCTACCAGCTCAAGTTCAAGCGGGTGATTGAGGTGATGAGCTATATGCCGGGCCCGCCGGTGCTGCCGCTGGTGGGGCATGGCCATCACTTCATTGGCAAGCCGCCGCACGAGTTGGTCATGAAGGTAAGCGAGTTCATGAGCAAGTACGCAAAGGACGATACGCTCAAGGTGTGGCTGGGGCCGGAGCTGAATGTGCTGATGGCCAATCCCAAGGATGTGGAGGTGGTGCTGGGCACACTGCGCTTCAACGACAAGGCCGGCGAGTACAAGGCCCTGGAGCCGTGGCTGAAGGAGGGTCTCCTCGTCAGTCGGGGCCGCAAGTGGCACAAGCGACGCAAGATCATCACGCCCGCCTTCCACTTCAAGATTCTTGATCAGTTTGTCGATGTGTTTGAGAGCGGATCGCGAGATCTGCTCCGCAACATGGAAAGGGATCGTCTGGGGCAGGGCCAGACTGGCTTTAACCTCTACGATTGGATCAATCTCTGCACCATGGACACGATTTGTGGTAGGATTTATTATTATTTCTTTGGCCCGAACACACACAAAGTTGTAAACAAACGGTAAAAAGTGCAGAGTGTGTTTTCGCACACTGTCGAGCCACTCGAGCAGTCTGGCAACAGCGTCGTTAACATTTAAAACAACAGACTCGCATGGTACGGCAACGCTGTTCTTTCTCTTGCGCACTTTTACCATTTTTCGTTGCAAATTTAATGTATTTATTTTCGCATTTTAATAAATTTTCAATTTTATACGCTCAGAAACTGCCATGGGCGTCTCCATCAATGCACAGACGAATGCTGACTCCGAGTATGTGCAGGCGGTGAAGACGATATCGATGGTGCTGCACAAGCGGATGTTCAACATATTTTACCGCTTCGACTGGACCTACATGCTGACACCCCTGGCCCGTGCCGAGAAGCGTGCCTTGAACGTGCTGCATGAGTTTACGGAGAAAATCATTGTGCAGCGTCGCGAGGAGCTGATGCGCGGTGGCAACAGGGACGCCGCCGCAGCTGCCACCGATGCGGATGCTGATGTGGGAGCCAAGCGGAAGATGGCCTTCCTGGACATCCTGCTGCAATCGACCGTCGACGAGAAGCCATTGACCAACCTGGACATTCGCGAGGAGGTCGACACATTCATGTTCGAGGGCCACGACACAACCTCCTCGGCGCTCATGTTCTTTTTCTACAACATCGCCACCCATCCGGAGGCGCAGAAGAAGTGCTTCGAGGAGATCAGTTCGGTGATCGGCGAGGACAAAAGCAGCCCGGTCACATACGAGCTGCTCAACAAACTCCACTATGTGGATCTGTGCATCAAGGAGACGCTCCGCATGTACCCATCCGTGCCGCTACTGGGTCGCAGGGTGCTGCAGGAGTGCGAGATAAGTAAGTATCATCCCCCCTGCCCAGGATATGGTCACTGTCCTAACACTCTACATTCCAATCAGATGGCAAACTCATTCCCGCTGGCACAAACATCGGCATCTCGCCCCTTTTCCTGGGTCGCCGCGAGGACCTATTCAGGGAGCCCAACAGCTTCAAGCCGGAGCGCTTCGATGTGGTCACAAGCGCCGAGAAGCTCAATCCCTATGCCTACATACCCTTCTCTGCGGGGCCGCGCAACTGCATTGGGCAAAAGTTTGCCATGCTCGAGATCAAGGCCATTGTCGCCAACGTTCTGCGTCACTACCACATCGACTTTGTCGGCGATACAACGCAGCCGCCAGTCCTCATCGCTGAACTGATCCTACGCACCAAGGATCCGCTAATGTTCAAGCTGCAGGAGCGCGTCTACTAACCATTTACTCTCGTAAATGCTGCCGGCTTTTTTTTTCCTAATTTGTATCTGTAAATATTAATAATGAAACCCCTTGAAGTCTAATGAAATGAAAGCCCCAAATAGCTTGAATTTTGCCACTAGTTTATTTGTAAAGCCAAAAAGGGATAATCTCCCATTATACGAAAGCGGAGAATTTTGGAAAGATAATGGCCGAGAAATAATTCTAAATATATCTGGATATACGTCTGGCTCATCAGGTCACGGTCTGGCATCACTCGTCGCGAATGCAGTCGCCAGGAAACCATTTCCGGACTGCAGGATCTATCTGACTTGAAAACTTGATTGGCGTTTAGAGGATATGCGAACGCTTCTGCAACATCTCACTGATGGCATGACTGAGAGCCTCCAGACTTGGGCCGTCCATCTCTCGAATCAGGCACAGGGCCGACGATAGAAGATTGGAATTGGTGCGCAAGCGACGCAGACCCACAGATGAGGTCCCGGGTGTGCCAAGGATAACTTCGGTTCTGCCAGAGGCCAGCAAGTCGTTTGCGGGCTCATCCGGTGCCGTGCTCTGGCGACGGACAAACGATTCGACGGCTCCCAGCCGCGACTGGGCGAAAAGGAACGCACCTGGGTCGGCAGCTGTGGTTTCAGCCCTAAAACGCGGCATGGTGAACCGATTGAGGGCCGAGAATTCATCCCGATGAAACTAGGAACAGGCGACACGGCTGGACAGGAAAGCGGCAGGGGGTCTGCAAATTCAGAAGGTAACCAGTGGCCGGAGTGATTTTCGAATCTCGTGGACTCCTGGTTGACGGCGGGTATCACGTCCTGGCTATGTTCACGGAGGCAGTCGGGAAGGGCCCTGGCACTCGCGAATCGTCTCTGTTCCCGTGGGGAAGGAACAGATAGGAGGATTTCGTCTTCAGCTGAACATTCTTCGAATGGTGCCAATGGATTCTGGCCGGCTGTGGCTCGAGGTCTGCATTCGCCTTGCATCCGTTCCCTGTCAAAGTTCTCGCCAGAGGCCCTGGCAGCGGTTCCCTTGGGATTGGTAACCGACCTTGGTATCGGGGCTCGGATTTTGCTCTTCGGCGCCGGATACGGCATGCTCTGGAAAGCCGCCGTCTGCTCACTCTCGCACACCTCAACGTCATCCAACTTTGTGACTTGTGGCAGCATGCGTAGCACGCAGGCGCGATAGTTGGCACCTGCGGCTTCCGAGCAGGGGTTCTCGCCCATCGAGAGGCTTCTCAGCCCTTGGGCGTTGCGCAGGTGTTTCAGTTGATCGAAGCTTGGTATCTCGTTGCGTCGCAGGTAGACCTCCTTGAGTCGGAGGCAGTTTTGAAGACTTTCCAGGCTACGGATCTTGTTCACACTGAGGACCAGGACCTCTATTCGCGGCATTCGCTGTAGAATCGATATATCATGCAGATCGATACCACAAGCATTCAGACTGATAACACGGTGAATGTCGGAGACCTTTGACTTTGTCTCCACCATTTGTTCAGTCAGGATAACCATGTTGACTGTTGAAAACCAAAATAAACCAAAACAGAAACCAAATTTTACTGAAAAAGTTACAATAAACTTTTCTAATGAAAGTCACAACATCCCAGGATGGATAGAGAAGGAAGGAAACATTTATGTTTGATTTATTTGTAAATCAGCCTACTTTTTGGTCGTATAAAAACTGCAGTCGAATGAGTAAACGAAGCGTGCCGAGAGATATTCGTAAGAGAGTAACTTACTTCAGTACTTTGTTTTTACTGAACTGGTATTTTGCAGTGCTGTACGATTACAAAACTAGTACAGCTATCGACTGTTATCCCACCACAATCCAGTGGTGCCGCAAAATTCTGGAAGGCTTAAAATCATTTTTTGTAAAAGCTTCTAGGAGAATTCCGATATGGGAAACGCACTATCTACTGAGCGCAACGATGGCTCCAAAAATATTAGGAATGTTCCCGTTTCATTCGACAACAACACTAAACCGCTATCAATCTTAGCGGTTAGCTTTGCTTCCCAGGGGGGAACTGAAATTATTCGCTGTACGTTTAAGCCGTCTCAACCCCAAGCAAGTGCCCCAAGCAACTGCTTTTCAGTTAATCCTTCGAAAGTTTTCTTGAACCCTGAGACCACGGCCCCCCCCCCCCCCCATACGTCCCGCCACCCAAAATGATGTTTTCCAGCAAAACAGAGCCACCAAGCCAGCAAAAGTATATCCGCAAAGTACAACAATCGATTAATTCTGTCCCAGCGCTGCTCCCAGCTGAACGGGGTACCGCCACGGACCTATTTCCGGCTAGTATAGCGGATGTATGTGGCACACACACATGAGCGTAAGCTGCGCGCAAGCGTCTGACGAAAAACAGCTGACGGGTCTGCAATAAATTAAATTTGATTTGAAAGATCAAATCAAATACGTACCTAATACATATGACATATTTATTCTCTATTAGGTATATGTAGTAATCCGATCCGACTGATGTCGACAATAGCTGAGATAGCGTAAAATCGCAGACTGGTTCGCATAGAAGCAGACAGGCGGCAGACATTACATATGTAATATATGTATGTACACTCTATCTGCAAACTCTATGTGTTACAAAGGTCTGTAAAGTAAAAGTAAAGCAAGGGTGTGGCGCAGTTTTTCTTTCTGTTTATTGATGAACGGGATAAAATGGTTAAACCATCCGCAAAAGCATACATATAAACACACACAAATGTATATGGCGAATGGCAAGGCAAAGCAGAAACTGTGGAAATGACAGCAGCATTCTCTACCGCTCACACAGCACTGAGATCCTATTCGAAGCAAAACACCTCTTGTCTCCCTCTTACACACATTGAACCTGACATTCTCATGTGGCTCCGCAGAACCGCAGAGAACCGCTCGAAAAATCACGAAATCGGATAAAAGGGATAGAAGGATTATTTTTCTTTCAGCCGCGTTTGCGGTCGACATGGATTTTTTTGGACGCAAGAACTACAGCGAGGGGAAGACTCCCTTGGAGAATTCAAAGAAGGTAATTAGACAAACTGCGAAACTGTTAATGTACATGTGCATAAATATGTAATTAGAACGTCTCGGCAGATTTCAGAGAGAGTCTCAGAGATTGGACTGGTCAGCCGCCAAATTGAATATAATGCGCAGAAGAATCTCGCTGACGATGATATTAAAAGCTGGATGTGTTATCAGGACAATCTGTCAGCGGAGAATAAGAAGAGAATTAAACACAATGATATCAAACGCTGGGTGTTTTCGCAGAACAAACACTTAAAGCTGGGGTCGAATGAGATGCCCAGCGAAGAGACAATGCTCGATGGTCCCCAAAATGATTATGAGGTCCTGAGGGAGCTCGATGAAGCTGAACGTACCTTAATTGCGCAGGAAAAACTTTTGCTTGGACTTTTGCCTCTCCGGCAGGAAACTTCGTCCTTTGATGCCTATTTCAACATGACATCTTCGAAGGACTGTGACATCAACATGGGTGACCTCAAGTTGAGTGGCGATGACCCTAAGGAAGCTGCTAAGAATCAGCACAAAGGCGGCTGGCATCGCGTTTTGGATGCACCAAAAGTAAGACTACAAATTTGACGATTTGTTCCATAAATTTTTGGCTAACAATCCCCATTCCTTTCGACAGATGGATGGGGAATCTCCCAATATCGGCAAGCCCGTGAAGTATGTGACCCCACTTCCGCCCCCATCGCAATTCGTCCGTCCTAAGGGGTCACCGCTGTTGGCTGGGTGCAAGAAACCAATTATATTGCCTGCAGGATATGATCTGTCAAGCATGCGGAAAATCAAAGATCCCAACCACTGGTCGCTTCGCCCAAACGTTCGCACTGGTGATCACATTTACTAAAGTTTTCTGCCATTTAGCACTGACAATTTACAGTGCACCATACGTACATACATACATATGTAGTATGTCACATGTGGGTCATAATATTCATAATTCATAATATGGTTATTCATAATATCGCAGTATAGCTAAGGAAATGGAAACCGATTGGAAAAGGTTTCATGGTGCGGCCTGCAGATAAAATGCAACAAAATTTTCGAATTTTATTATTATTAACTCAATGCAAGAGCTTCATGGGAGCACATTGATTTATTAATAAATGAATAACTGGACTTCAATAAAACATGTTGAATAGTTTTATGTTATAGTGAGCACTAGCGTACTATATAGAGGTACTAACGCATATATCTCTCGCTATAACTGGTGAGAAAATCTCTGTCCATGTAAATTAGAGCAGCCTACGGAATATCCAAGGCCCATCACCAGTTGTTGAATAGCATTTTTCACATCTCTATTTATGGTTTTTACTGATATATGACAATGTTTATAATATATATTTATGTACGAATATGTAATAGTAAATGTGAAATGTGGAATGTGCCAAGTTGTACATCGCTCAGCAGGGACCAGGCCATTAAACTAAATCTATCTATCTACTGGATCGTTTTATAAAGATCCCTTCGAATATGTCGATCAATTGTGGCGATGCACAGGGCAGGAACTCGACGCCACTGCATCTGGCCGCTGGCTACAATAATTTCGAGTGCGCCGAATATCTGCTGGAGAATGGGGCCTATGCTGAAAGCTTTGTTCATATAAGCCCCTTCCTAGCATTATGCATACACAGAGTACACATATAGTAAATAGTATAGAGGATAAATATAAATATAAAGAGAGGATAACAAAAAAAAAAAACCAAGAGAGAATAGTACAGAGAGTACATAAGATTGGGATAGCATATCGTACATCTCTTTTGGTAGGGGGAGGGAGGGGGCATAATAATAATAATAACAACTAAGGACTATTCCTTATCGACAGACAGGTGGATAAACACAATCACTTTCATAGATATGGTTAAGGGTACGGCTATGGATGGGAATGGATATAGATCGACTGGCATTGGGCCCTACTTCTCTCCGCCAGTGCTCGCTCCCGCGTTGGGTGCCGCTGTGGGCATGCTGCTCTTGCGCTGTGCCTGCGAGATCTGCACAATTCTCGACAGCGGTGAGTGGGTGCTGCTGGTGCTGGGCCTAGTCCCGGCAGGCAGGGGCAGCAGTCGAGTAGCCGACGCCTCGTCCGCCGCTGCGGCGCCTGTGCCTCCTCCTGCCCCAGGGGGCGAGGTGGGCGAGAGTTCGCGGGCCAGCGGCGAGGGACGCAGTGAGAGGCGGCGCTGCAGTGCGGACTGCGAGGGACTGGTGCCTGCTCCCTGCTCGATCAGGCTGGCACCGGGTGGCGGCGCTTGGCCCGGGGGTATCTGCAGGGCCGTGGGCCGGACACTGAAGCGGCGTCGGAACTTGCTAGTGTTCGAGGCCAAAGCTGGAGTCGATGAGGCCGCCCCTTGATTCTGCATCTGATTCTGACCGCTTGCCCGCTCCGTGTAGCTGGGCGGTGGCTCCAGAATCGATCGGCCCGTGCCATTGGGCGACATGGTGCCCACGATGGTGGAGCGACGAGCATACAGACGATTGGCGGCGGCCGCCTGCAGGGAGCGGGTCTGGTCGCCGGCAAAGAGCGAGAGTATGGGCGGCAGCTGGGGTGGATCGAGGCCGGCATTGCCCATCTTGCGTTGCTTTCGGCTGCCCAGCCTGTTGCCACCGCCGGCCGTTGATGATGCCGCCGCCTGCTGCTGCTGCTCATCCAGCACGGCATGTGTGTGGACCACCTCGAGGGCTCGTATGAGATCCGCTATGGTGGTCTGCTCCAGCACGTTCATATCCTTCTCGGAGGTCACCGAGAAGATGCTCGAGCGCCGCGGCGCCCCCATGGATGCCATCGACGAGGACGTTGCCGTGGCCGGGAAGAGGCTGCCCCGTCGGGCTGCCACTGCTGCCATTGCCGCCGATCCCGAGCCGCGCCGCATCTGCATCTGGGACTGGTTCTGGGCCAGGGTCGCCGCCGCTGCTGTGGGCGGATACATACTGCCCCGGCGGCCGGCAATTGCCGGATTCTGGGTGTATATGCTCTCGCGGCGGCGCTTACCAGCTGCCGGCGGACGACGCTGGTACGCGCCACCAGCTCCGGCTCCGGCTCCTGCTGGCAGCGAGGCCTGCTCCGAGTCGTCCAGATGGAAACCCAGGTTGGTCAGGCCGCCGGTGGATGCGAGGCTGCCATTCGAATCGAAGGGCGGCGGCGGCGGACCGCGACCGTTGCGCAGATACGACTGGCTGGAGGCGGCGGTGATCGTATTGTTGTAGTAGTCGAGTGGCCTGCGAGACGGCAGTGCGGTGGCCCCCTCCGGCACCGATACAACGGATAGCTTCCGCTCCAAATCCTGGGAGTGGCGCTTGCGCTGGAAGGGAAACAGCCGACGCAGGCCATCCGGCATCGAGAACTTCTTGACGCGCCCGGCACCGGGAGTCGAGATGTTGCCCCCCTTCTTGAGCTGCTCCTCGATGGCATCCGGCTCCAGGTGCACCATGGAGGAGGCCCCGCCGTTGGCGGCATGGCCCTTGTAGCGATTGTTGAATGCCTCCTGGATCTGCTGGTTGTCCCCACTCCAGGTCCACTCGTTGTGCGAGGGCCGCAGCGGACGCTCGCTCTTCCAGTGCGGGGGATCGATGTTGAAGTCGGAACAGGCGCGGGCCCGCTGGCGACGTGGCGGCTGCTGTGCCGAGAACTCGTTAACCGTCGAGAAAGACCATTCGCTGGCCAGGATCTGTGAGTCAGAGAAGCCATGGTAGCCCCCATAGAGGGCAGGGTCCTCCGTTTCCGCCGCCGGCGGCGGCTTCACAGTGGCCAGAGCACTGACCACCTTTGCCAGCAGATCCGTCGTCTGGCGATATGCCTCCGCCGTCTCGAATGTCTTCTCCCGGTCCAGTTTGCTCAGCTCCGTGTCGGAGCTGGCGTGGATCAACGACACCGCTGCCGCATCCTGGGCTGCTGCCAGATCGGCGCACACGGAGAAGGCACGCTTGCGGCTGGGCAACGGTGCCGGCTCCACACGGTACATGCTCAGATCCGGACAGGAAGCGGAACGCGGCATGGTGTAAGCAAAGTCGATATCCGTGTAGACGGGCTGTCCAATATGGTGGTTGTTGGCCATGCAAAGAGATTGGATTCGATTAGTGTTTGTTTTGGGTTTATGGTGGCATCTGGATCTGGTTTGGATCTGGGCTAGCACTGGGCTCGGGCTCGGACACGGGCTCGTTATGCTCTCTCCTGATACCTGATATTTACTTACGCCTGACCCTCCTCCACCTGCTCTTCTTCTCCTTCTGGATCTTACTAATCTTATTATTCGGCTTCTCTCTATTTCCCTTTCGACAAAACTAGAACAGAGAACATCATCAATATCTTTTGGGTATTATCTAAGCCAGTTTAACGAGTATCTGCCGCTTAGTAAAAACATCAAGATTTCAGCCCAAACTAACAGACGGCATTGCTTAACCTATGATTACTCCCCTTTTTAGTTTATTTTTTTATATTTTTGTGTTAGGTGCTCCCATGTATTAGTTCCATAAAGCCTTAAAAATATACAATCTCCAGCAGTCATATGTTCCCCAGTATTTGCTGCACAAATATCCCATAAGTGAACGGACACAAGCAGCGACCATTCGCCTCGAGTGAACTTCCATTTTTCTTATGGGAGTTATGAAAGCAAAAAAATGGTATTACAAAAAGAAGAACAAAATGTCTTGCTTTAAATTAATTAAGTTTTAAGAATTAATAAAAAAAAAAAGGATATGAAAAATATATTTTAAATGAATTTGAATTTGTTGTTCCCTTTGGACCTATCGGTAAAAGAAAACAGCAGGGGATCCATGGATCGAAAATACATCAAATATTATAGGAGAAAATACAATCAGATATATGTTATATAATAAATAACTGTTGGAAAACAGAAAATCAGCTGGAAAATCAGCGGACACTCACGCGTAAGCGTCGGAATTGATACAATCCAATGGAATATCAGCTGTGATTGAACTTATTTAAAAACCCTTTTAAATATAAAATTTAATATTAAATGATCATCCGTCTGACATTGATATGTAATTGATTGATTGGATGATTGTGTTTAGCCCAATTTTAGTAGGTTTCTTATATGGGGATTCCTTATGGTTAAAGTCAGAATTGTTACAGCTCCCCAAATGATTAGTTTATTTGCCTTTGCAAGCAGTGCTAGCCCATATATGATTGATTGATTGATCTGTTTGCGGGTATCTACAATATATACCTTCACTTTGAGGATATAGAGCTCGTTGAGCATGCGCCTGAGGTAGCCAACATCCTTGGTGACGCCCGTCCAGATGCGGTTCTGCGTGGCCTTCAGATTGGAGGACAGCTGCTGCTCCAGATGCGCCAGCTTCTGGCTCTGCAGACCTCTGTGTTTGTATGATGGATTGGATGTATATGTCGATTTTATATTGGGAATGGGGGGTTGTGTCACCAGTTATTAGGAGATAAAGATAGATAATACGTTAGGGCGCATGCAAACGACAAATAACACAACACAACGAACGACATGCGATGTGCGGAGATTCCTGATCCTGGCACTTACCGAGTGATGAATGTCATGATCATGACCAGATATCCCAGCGAGAAGATAAACCAAACGATGACAAAGATCTGATAGACCACAAACCAGCCGCCAAATTCACGCGGCTATTCGACCGAAATCAAAGAGAGAAAATTAAGGTTTGTTCACTGATCTCCCAGAGCAACACTACTTACCTGATTGGGCCCAAAGGTGGGCACATAGTCGCCAAATCCAATGGTTGTGGTCGTCACATAGCTGTAGTACAACGAAATGGAATACGGCCAGTTCTCGAAGTAGGTAAACACCCACGAGGGCAGCAGCAGGAACAGGGCTATGCCCGGTACCAATGCAATCACCACCGTGGTGATCAGACCCAGCTGCGGCGGCACATAGTGCATGTCCGTGGTCATCTTGTACTTCTTGTACCTTCGATAGATGGCCTCAAACTAACAAATATATGAAAGATATCTATCATCATCATCTTCCATTCGATCCAGATCCAGATCGAGTTTGAGATCGAGATCCAAGTCCACTCACCGTTCGTCCAAAGTACTCGCCCAGGCCGGCAAAGAGTATGCCATTGACGGGTATACCGATCACCGAGTACGCAATCATGATCATGCGACCCGCAAATGTGGTCGGCGATATGTTGCCATAGCCCACCGTCGAGCAGACGGTGAACGCAAAGAAGAAGGCATGGTAGAAGGTCCACGTAAAGGGTATCTCATACTCATCCTTCTCGACATCCGTCACCGGCTTGCCGCAGTACTCCGATATCCGTTC